AGTGGTGAAGACACCGCCACCTGGACCTGTGGCAAGGGCTCCTCCATGGCTGTGTTGCTCTAACCGGAGAGGGCTCACCGCCCACCTGACCTCCCCGCTGCCGTCCCTTATCGTGGTGGCGGTGGGGGGGTTTCTCTAATCGCCATCCGCCCGGGCGGGCTCTGGTGGCGGGGATGCTCTCGACTCCAACATTGCCTCCCCCGATTAAAGTGGACTCTCATCAATCTCAAATGACATTGATTCATTTGCGATTGTCATTAGCTAAACTTCAGCGCTCACCGAATATCAACCAAGTTTCTATGCTTGCCACTTTGATTTGATTCTAGTCCGGAGTACACAGCTACGGAGTACCCTCATGCCCATGCAAGTGGATTCATTGCGGACAAGTTCATCCATTCCAATTCAGGTCACCGACCGACCCGACGGAAACTCCGGGGACTTGGGGTAAATAATGCCAGCCACTCGTACCTGATCAGACCAGTTGGCAATGGCATGTCCTGGTCTCAGAGGATGAGCGGTCTCCGGTTTGTTTTGAGGGGTCGATCTGCAGTGCACGGAATGCAGGCGGGGAAGGGTGAGGGGTTGCGACTACACTGGCTGACATTTTCTGCTGCGTTGTCGGGATGAGACGGGGTAAAAAGTGAACTACAAGCTAAGTTGACATCGAGTCTCACTGATCGTGGATTCGAGGATGGATTTGCCGAAGAAATGCCTATGCCAAGTGCTGACGGGGTTCTGTTTGCTCAGCTCAACCTATCCCGACACCGATGACGCCAGGGTCCATTCGTTGCTGTTATCTATGGCGTCAGTCAAGATAAGATCGCATCGTGAACCCCACCACAGTCACATACGCAGCATCAGTCTCACGGCTTGATGTACCCATGCTGCGGAGGCTCTTCCGACCAGCCATATCATTGAGTCAACTCAACAGGCTAATTAGGGGCTCTTGCACACTATCATAACTGGTACTGGGGTACTTCCACTTCCGATTGCAGCGACAACCGGGATGCTTGCGTCACATGGCACCCTTCTCCGAGCCGATCAACTACAACGCAACCTGACTGAACACGGACCATTTTGGGGGTCTAGACACCGCATCTCCAAGGTCTCGATAACCCTGGACCGACTGTATCCAAGATCCAATCGCAACAACACGTGTATCTGCAACCCAGAATGCAATCAGTGCGTCATATGAGGGAGTCCCCAATGGCCAAAATCAGCATATGATACCCCCGGCCTATTGACAGGGTAGACGACCTGTTGCAGGGTGTTGCCGAGTCCAGCACGAGCTGGGCAGAATCGAGGCTCTATGCTAGCATCCAGAATCGTCGACAGGAATCTTTACCGACTCGGTTCTCGTCATGTCTTCCAAGGCGATCGCTTAGGGCGCTTCTGTGACAGCTGACAGTCGATGCACCCATCTGATGTACCCCGCACCTGCATCCCCGTGTCACTCAACTCACATGCAGGCCTGGCTGGAGGGTACAGCAAGTTACCCAACGCGTATTCTGTACATGAATTGAGTAGTATGCATCTCATAGTCCCAATGGTTTCCTAGCGCCATGACACGTGTGAACCTGGTGTGAATCACGTCTGTATCCCTATCGATGCCTTTGCACAACGATATCTCGGAAGTGTTGTGTTTACTATTGCTCTTGAAGCGCTATGTGCGCGTGTCGCGTTGCGCCCGAGTGCAGCATGGATCGGAAGCAGTGGTATCGGGTCCTAGGTATACACTGTTCACAACCCGACGTCCTCGGCGTCGGAGGCCCTCAGATCTTGCAGCCTCCGGCTCAAATAATCTATTTCTCGTATCGAAGCCGCATGGCTGTCATTCCCTGGGCCCCTGCGATATGACTCGACAAGCCCAGTACAGACCGCCGATTGAGGCTGCGATGCCTGTCTGACAAATCAGCATCTTCCTATTGTTTGGAGATAGTGCAACCCCATGACAGGTGCTCCGCGTGAGCATGTGCTTCTCGCGCTGAGGTGTCACAAATCCTCGCGCAGGCTCATGTCAGATTGTTCTCATTGATGTCTATAAGCTACCGATATCATCGATATACCTCGAGCCAAACTGGTGGCTTCTGACCAGTCGAGATGGCTTGGACAAGCGCACTCACACAGAGTACACCATATCTTGTCAGCGGGACGAGGCAGTCGCTGCATCTTGTTGATGTTATCTTGCCTCCCCAGGGCGCACAACAGCTCGCGTCCGCACTGGCTACGAATACGATCACATGCAAGCGGCTGAGATTGACAACGCAACGCCATCGGTTGTTGTAACGGCACCGAGGAAGATTCCTTGGAATGTTTATGCTATCGTTGTTCGGTAGAGAGGTATCGCTAGGCTCGGCCAAATACTCAAACCGGTAGGACTCGTCGCCCTCGTGAAAGAATATTTTGAGGCGTGCTGTACCCATACTCTCAGACAATCTCATGTCTTGATGTCGGATTAAGGATGTTTGCTTCGTTGTGCATGCGAGGCGCTTGCGCCAGGTTGCGCTCTTCGTCCGCGTTACGTGCAGTAGGAAGCAAACTACATTCTGATGGGTGGTAAACACAACATGGGCGAATCAAGCTCATTGGTTGGGTCTAGAGAACAAACCGTTGCTGTTGTCATTGCTTTCGACTACAGGAGTCGCGATACAGTGCATTTTCCATTTTGCAGCAGACGATAATGGTGTCTGCACTCGTCTTCTGTCTCGAAGCAGGGACGATTGCTACTCTTTTTGAAAGACCCGAAGACCTCAAACGCCTGGAGAAACGGTTCCAGGGTCTCTGTTGTCTCCTAGTGATATTACAAGTAGCACTAGCATCTCGATCTCGGGTCAATCTGTATCAATGTGAGGCGAATGATGCTTCATTTGACCGCAGGATCTATTCTAAGGCTGCTCGCTTTTCCGACAGACAGCAACAACTACGTTAGATCTTGTTCTGAGCATTAAATTTGGGCGGTTGCTGCTATCGCCAGATGATAATAAAAGGTCTCTTTACCTGCGCGGATAAAGAGACTCTCGCCGCGACCTCTGATGCTAAAGGCTACCTATCCTGCTCGGAGATCATGTTGAACAAACATTCGTAGCGCTCCAAAGTATGTTCGTCCTGAGCCTGCTGCAGTTCGCCTCCGACATGGTGCGAAACGAATGATCCACTAATCATTGGAAGATCATGGTATCGTCGCCGCTGCCTTGAGGGTTTCGAGGGCCGATGAGCAACATCACCGCTGTTGCCGGTCTCTCTCTCGATTTGAGCATCCTACGAGGACAGGTAGAAAGGCGATGGGTGAATTCATCGGCTCGGATCCCATCACCGCGTCACTACTGTTCAATTGAGCATCGGGCCTCAGGGCAGGAGGATCATCACAATACGATTCGTAGATTTTGACGGTAGTAGGGAACCTACATGGCACATCAGGCAAGCCCAGATGCACCAGATCACAGCTCTGCTATGATGCATGTGCAAAAGACGGCAACCATCCCCTGAGGTCGAGGAAGGCTGCTCTAGTTTCACCTCGTTACACCTAAGTTTAGGACTAACCCCTCCGTGCAAGCACAAATCCAGACATATCATCCGAAGGACGACACGAGCTCCGAGTCGGGATCTCTATCCCCCACCTGATCCTTCGCCTCGGTCGCATCGGGGCTAGAAGTTTGAACTCAGGACGATCAGGGACAATGCCAATCGCCCGTCATCCGAAGATGATACATACAACAAGACAACAACTAGGCTCTCGCTAACCTGTTTGTGGTGTTTCGCTCGCTTCAGACTCGTCGGGGCGGGCATCACCGCGTGGTACAGGCCTAATCCCTCGAGAAATCGAAATCTGCACGAGATGGAAAGTCACGCGATAAATTCGGAAGAACCGAAGCGAGAGTCGATTAGGCCATCTAGCTCAGCGACTAGGGAACAGTAGTCACCACGGCCCGGCCGTAATCTTCCAAAGGGGACGACTTCTCCGCCTCCGGCTTGGAAGACCCTCCGCACCCCTGCTGCTTAGGCTGGGCTAATCTGATCTAGCACGGCACCGGCACCGTTCACAATGGCGCCGCCTCTGTATCAATCGTGCACAAATGACCAGTCTGCACATTTTGCAGAGCAATTTCTCACCTAGTCGGTCGGTGATCGGAACAAGCCACGTTTTATGACTGCTCACCTGCAGGTCAGTCGGCTGCAGGTACTGGAACGCACGAGGTCGACGGTCAAACTGGATGGCCCGATTGCAGCGAATGCGATGGAAATTAACTTTGCAGCTTGTCTCACTTGCTCAGAGTGTTCAAGTATTAGTCTGGCACACACGCTCCACCAAGGGGATGTCTTACGCCAGCTTGACTGCTTGGGTGCGGACAAGTTCCTGGAGTATGGAGCACGGAGATTCGTTGACTGCGGCTGGTGGAGCCGACAGACGGAGACTGCGAGCAATTTGAGCAATTTTTGCTGGCTGAGTTGAGTTGAACTGTGGGCAACGGCACGCTCCGTCCGGATTTCCGATGATTCCGTGACCAATTCGAATGTCTAATAGTGGTGCGGAAGGGGCTGGGAATGATCTGTGCTTTGCAAGTTGTATATGGGGTCGATGGCTAGCCAGAAGGGGTGTCCGGAGATTGACTTGATCAGTTAATGATGAATTGGTATAGGATATTTATTTGTGTAGTGAGTGCCGTGGATGCAGTTCAGCTGGTGTAATATCAGTGGTGTCTTGGCAGACAGGCGACGGTGCAAGTGTCGGCGTTTGTGTCAGGTTGATTATATGAGGGAGAGAGAGAGAGAGTGAGTGAGTGAGTGACAGCAGTCTCGCGTTGATAAAATGTATGCATCTATTGAATAGTCGTTTTATGGTTGATGGTGATATTATAATCCATGGCACAGTAAACTACCTATGCAGGATGAACTTAACCCATACTAGGCGTGCTTCTTCCGCCCGCATAACTGCTCTTCCTATCATCTTCATCATCCAGTTTCCTCAATTCAACTGTCGATCCCTGCCCTCTGCCTTCATTGCTTCATCCCCTCAGGGCAAAGTTAATATCCTTTAACTTTGGCCCAAGGATGAACTAACCACGCACTAAATGGGGAATTGCATGCCTCTTGCACCTCTCGTTGGCTGTTCCTCGACTCTCTCCCCCTGCTTTCCCCTTGCCGCTCTCCAGTCGTCGTACGACCGAGATCTCGTTCTTCCTGCAGCCTGCTGAACTTTTCAGTGGGAGGCGAAGAAGTAATCAACCCTGCATGCATTAGTGGGAAGTCCGAAAGACTGAAAACCAGCACTTAATTCTTTTTTTTTTCTCTTCGATGCTTGTTTCTTCGATGTTTTCTTCTTCTCCTTCCTTTCCTCGACTTCTATTGTCTTCCCGTTGATCTTCTCTGCTACACTTGCCCCATTCCTGTGCATCCCTGTGCATCCCTGTGCAGACGAGATAAGATCTCAACAGCATGGAGCAGCACGAGGCTAAGCAATATGCCGGCGATCCCGCCGCGATTGAGTTGCGTTCGGAGGGGCGTCGCTCCTCCGTCTCCGCTCCTATCAATGCTTCTGGTCACAAGCAGGAGCTGGACCGGAATTTCGGCTTCATCAACATCTGTGGTTTGGCATTGACCAGTGGAAATACTTGGATTGCCTTGGGTGGAAGTATAGTATGTTGATCCATCAACAAGGATGACGATCCTGGCAGAGAGCTGATTGTACACGCAGGTCACAGCGATCTATGATGGCGGCCCGCCCGGGGTCATCTATGAGATGTACGCCCTCCACTTGGATGTACAATAACTATCCCGACTGACTCTGGCAAACAGGATTGCTGCCTCCTTCTTTTACTGGTGCATCGCTGCCTCCCTGGCCGAGCTGGCCTCGTCCATGCCATCCTCCGGTGGAGGTGAGTCTACTTATCCAACCATGAGAGCAACGTGAGAAGACTAATGCCTGCATCGTTAACAGTCTACCACTGGGCAACCATCACCGCCGGTAGATACGGACGTCCTGTCGGATTCTTTGCTGGATGGTGGAACTTCCTGGCTTGGATCTTCGGCGCCGCATCCACAACGCAGATCCTAGGCACACAAGTGGTATCGGCATATGCGCTCTTCCACCCCGACTACACTATCGAGCGCTGGCACGTCTTCCTTGCATACCTGATCTGTTCCCTCGGATGCTGCTTGATTGTCGCCTTCGCCAACCGGGCGCTTCCAATGATCGAATCCGTCGGCGGAGCATTGACGGTGGCCGGCTTCCTGATCACGGTGATCGTGTGCGCGGTGATGCCGCACGTCAACGGCCAGCCCTACGCGACCGACGACTTTGTGTGGCGCGACTGGCTCAACGAAGCCGGTTATAGCAGTAACGGCTTTGTGTTTTGTCTGGGGATGCTGAACGGAGCCTTCGCTGTCGGCACGCCGGACGTGATCTCGCACTTGGCTGAAGAAGTTCCCCAACCGGGCAAGAACATCCCCATTGGCATGCTGGCCCAGTACGTGATGGGCTTCTTTACGGCGTTCGTTTACCTTATCGTCATCTTCTACGGAATCACGGACCTAGACGCCGTCCTCGATGCCCCCTACCTTTTCCCCCTGACGGAGATCTACCTCCAGATCACCGGCTCCCGCGGCGGCTCCCTGGGCCTGATCATCGTCTCGCTGCTGCCCCTGCTCGTGGCCATCATCGGCTGCTACCTCACCTCCAGCCGCGTGCTGTGGACGCTTGCCCGTGACGGCGCCACGCCCTTCAGCGGTTACCTCGGCCGCGTCAGCCCGACGCACAAGAACCCGCTCGCCGCCGTGCTGGTCTGCGGCGTCATCGCCATCATCCTAGGCTGCATCTACGTTGGCAACTCCACCGCTTTCAGCGCCTTCGTCAGTTCATTTGTTGTCCTGACCACTATCTCTTACCTCGCCGCCATCCTGCCGCATCTCCTGCGCGGCCGCAAGGGCATCCCCCGCGGGTGGTTCTGGATGTCGGGCCCCGTGGGCTTCATCGTGAACATCGTCACGTGTGCGTGGATCATCGTGTTTATTGTCATCTTCTGCTTCCCGTTCTCGATGCCAGTCGATGCTGAGACGATGAACTACACGTGTTTGATTACCGGTGGGTTCACGATTCTGATTGCGGGCGTGTGGGTGGCGAAGAAGGGAGGTTATAAGGGCCCGATGGCGGTGGCGATTGAGAGTGAGGCTTTGGCTAAGGATGCTATTTAGTCTTTCCTTTTCGAAGGGTTATAAATAAAGAACGAGGACGTGAGTGTATATAGTATATTTTAATATTCAGTGAGGTTCGATCTACCTGCATTTGGAAAGGAATACACAAAAGTCGGGTTTTATGTCTCTTCCCTCTAGGTTGGGTTTGTTGTTTGAGATTGTTCTAGCTTAACAAGTTGATTGCACTTCTGCTTTGTCGTTTGAAGTCAACGCAGGTCGCAATATGCGAAGAGCCTCTTTTCTGGAGCCTTGGACCTCTGGCTCAGTTTCAACAGTCCGAAAGGACCCTAGAGAGTCAGATGGTCCTGAAAAGAGGGTCTGCATTCAGGAATATAGCTCCGTCTCTAACGCCTGCTGTCCTCCATGCAAAAGACCCGACTTCGCTCGAGACGACAATTGTACAGCAGTCCCTTTGATGTATTCGCCTTCTAGTGGGTCCATCTCGGCGTCTGATGTTCGTAAGCGCAGGCTGAGACTACCGTTGACCGTGCCATTGCCGATGACCGCCATGATGCTAGCCTTAGGCACAGGTTTGTGTCCAAGGCAAAGACCCCATTGCAAGCGAAAGCCACCTCGCCATCTGGTTTGCGGTGTGATTGAGACCAAGGTTCACGGGTTAGTTCGTGAGGGCTTCGAGGATCCCAGGGCGGGCCAATTGCTCGTTCTGTCTTCCCTGAATCAAGTTCAGTTAGCAGAAGAAAGCAAGTGTGGGCTGACCGACCTGCTCAGTGTCGAGTCCTGCCCTTGACTGTTGACAGCCCCGGTAGATGGCTCGGGAGTTGTGAAGTCGAGTGAAGCTGTCCTCTGGCTGAACTGGGTGAATTGAACCAAGAAAGAGCCCAGGTCGGATGATGTCCGAGAAGCAGATTTAACCGCCTGTGACGCAAGGGAGACTTTGGTAGTCCCTTTGCCAGTTCTCTGCAAGAATTCTCCTCATTTGGAGTCCGGCTGAAGAGATGAAGGGGATTCAGGCTAAAAGGGAAGTGGGACTTTTTTGCGGAGATCGACACGCTTTCTCCGCAACCACCCCGCATCTTCTGTTATAAAATACTGGAGTACTTCACACCACCCATCGTCACCAATGCCATTGTCACTCCTCACTAATACTCAATTCCTCCTGTCTTCTCTGGAGCACTATCACCACAATGGTTGTGGCGGCTCTTGCTCTGCTGGCTCTCTTGCCCCAGGCCCTAGCGCAAGACAACAGCAGCTACGTCGACTACAACGTCGAAGCCAATCCAGATCTCTTTCCGCAATGTCTGGCGACAATCGACCTGGCCTTTCCCGATTGTCAAGATGGGCCTCTGAGCAAGAACCTCGTCTGCGATTCTACAGCCTCGTCCTATGACCGCGCTGCTGCCTTGATCTCCCTTTTCACCCTCGAGGAACTCATCAACAATACGGGCAACACCAGCCCCGGTGTCCCCCGCTTGGGTTTGCCCCCATACCAGGTCTGGAGTGAGGCCTTGCATGGACTAGATCGCGGCAACTTCACCGATCAAGGGGCCTACAGCTGGGCGACCTCCTTCCCCTCGCCCATCCTCACGGCTGCCGCCTTCAATCGGACCCTGATCAACCAGATTGCCTCCATCATCTCCACCCAAGGCCGCGCCTTCAACAACGTTGGCCGTTACGGTCTCGACGTCTATGCTCCGAACATCAATGCATTCCGTCATCCAGTCTGGGGTCGCGGACAGGAGACCCCGGGTGAGGATGCCTTTACACTTTCCGCCATCTATGCGTACGAATACATTACCGGCATCCAGGGTGGAGTGGATCCGGAGCACCTGAAGCTCGGAGCTACCGCGAAGCACTTTGCTGGGTATGATCTTGAGAATTGGCACAACCACTCCCGTCTGGGGAACGATCTCATCATCAGCCAGCAAGACTTGGCGGAGTACTATACGCCGCAATTCCTCGTGGCCTCCCGCGATGCTCGCGTTCACAGTGTCATGTGCTCCTACAACGCGGTCAACGGTGTGCCCAGCTGCTCCAATTCCTTCTTTCTGCAGACACTCCTGCGTGACACCTTCTCCTTCGTCGACCACGGTTACGTCTCCGGCGACTGCGGTGCCGTCTACGGCGTCTTCAACCCCCACGGCTATGCAGCCAACGAGTCCAACGCTGCCGCCGACTCCATCCGCGCAGGCACCGACATCGACTGCGGAACCTCCTACCAATACCACTTCAACGAATCCATCGTCACCGGTGCCGTCGCCCGCGATGACATCGAACGCGGCCTCATCCGTCTGTACTCCAACCTCGTGCGTCTCGGCTACTTCGACGGCAACAGCAGCAGCCCGTACCGCAGCCTCAGCTGGACAGACGTCCAAAAGACCGACGCATGGAACATCTCCTACGAAGCAGCCGTCGAGGGCATCGTCCTCCTCAAGAACGACGGCACCCTCCCGCTCGACTCCTCTAGCAGCAGCAGCAGCAGCAGCAGCAGCAGCAACAAGTCCGTCGCGCTGATCGGCCCCTGGGCTAACGCCACCACGCAACTCCAAGGCAACTACTACGGGACGGCCCCCTACCTCATCAGCCCGATCGATGCCTTCACCTCCGCCGGCTACGAGGTGCACTACGCTCCCGGCACAGCGATTTCCAGCAACTCGACCGCGAACTTCAGCGCAGCGCTCGCCGCCGCCCGCGCCGCCGATACCATCATCTTCTTGGGTGGTATCGACAACACCATCGAAGCCGAAGCCCAGGATCGCTCCTCGATCGCCTGGCCGGGCAACCAGCTCGACCTCATCCACCAGCTCGCCGCGCACAAGCAACCGCACCAGCCGCTGATCGTCTACCAGATGGGCGGCGGCCAGGTCGATTCCTCCGCCCTCCAAACCAACCCCAACGTCAACGCCCTCCTCTGGGGCGGCTACCCCGGCCAATCCGGCGGCCTCGCCCTGCGCGACATCCTCACCGGCGCCCGCGCCCCCGCAGGTCGCCTCACCACCACCCAGTACCCCGCCGCCTACGCCGACGCCTTCTCCCCGCTGGACATGAATCTCCGCCCCAACCAATCCTCCAACAACCCCGGCCAGACCTACATGTGGTACACCGGGGAACCTGTCTACGAGTTCGGCCACGGCCTCTTCTACACGAATTTCTCCGCTTCCCTGCCTGCTACCAGCACCAGTAATCACACGGAAGCGGGAGCCCACTCCTACACATTCAACATCTCCAGCATAGTAGCCGCCGCGCACCCCGACACAACAACCGTCGGCCAGCAAACCCTCTTCAACTTCACCGCTACGATCACGAACACCGGCGACCGGGACTCGGATTACACCGGCCTGGTCTTCGCCAACACCTCGAACGCAGGCCCCGCGCCGTACCCGAATAAATGGCTCGTCGGGTTCGACCGCTTGGGCAGTGTGCAGAAGAACGGCGGGAAGAAAGTGTTCAGTGTGCCTATTGCGGTGGATCGGTTGGCTCGCGTGGATGAGGATGGGAGTTCGGTTTTGTTCCCGGGCACGTATGAGGTGGCGCTGAATGTCGAGCGGGAGGTGGTTGTGACGGTTGAGTTGGTAGGGAGCGAGGCGGTTTTGTTGAAGTGGCCGAGGGTTACGGAGGAGATTTTGGCGGATTCGTAGACCGTGTTTGGGGATGTGTTGATGTTGTTGGGGTGGGGTGGGGTAAAGGGAGAGGTTGAAGGATGGTTGTGGATGTGGACTGTATATATGAAGGATTTCATTGTAGTGGTTGACCGCGTGGGAACTAACTTAGTAACTTAAGAAGCGGATCAAGTATATATGACACTCACCCAAAGGCAAGTTATGCTCGAAGGAATCATGTATAATGAAACCACATGAGGACTATGGGTACTAGTACTCGGTGGAAAGATAGAATGTTTTCACCTCGCATAAGATGCTATATATATATACAACCACTCCTCCTTAGTATAGTCAAACCATGATGATGGTGAGTAGAAAAGAAACGCCTCAACCGTGCAATTTTTTATCTATATTCACTCCATAATGCTCCGGTAATTAATGCTAAGCCTTCTGCACTTGCTCCCTTCTGAGACGTCAGTTGGTGGTAAACTACACTGCAGCACTGCCGCGGTGGCAGACCTTATTATACCTTATACCTTCACCTTCTTCTTCTCCTTCTCCTTATTTTCCTTCTCCGTCTTTCCTCCACTCCGCACCTCCGTCTCCAACACATCCAACGCCTCCGCATACCGCTTCCGCACCTCCTTCATACCCTCTAAACTCACGCTCACGCGAGTCACCTTCTGCTTCTTGTCGCCATCGCCACCGCCACCACCAGCACGCACAATCTTCCCGTCGGCAGCCAGACCAATCTGCTGCGCGAACCACTTGCCCTCGCGGTGCGCGACAAGCGTCCACGCCGACCCGGTCTGGCCGGCGCGCGCGGTGCGGCCCACGCGGTGCACGTACGTCGTGACGCTGGTCGGCACGTCGTAATTAACCACGTGGGTCAGGCGGGGCAGGTCCAAACCGCGCGAGGCGCGGTCCGTGGCGATGATGATCGAGAGCTTGCCACGGCGGTAGGCGGTCAGGGTCTTGCGCGAGGCGGACGACTTGTTGGATTTGATGATCGTGCCGATGCGCGCGGCGAGGGTGGGTTCCAGGAGGGCAAGGAGGCGTGCGAGACGCGAGGCGGATTCGGAGGATTTGGTGAAGATGAGGACTGTGGGGCTGTTTGTGGGGGTGGTAGGGGAAGTGGTTGGGTGATTGGGTTTGGTGGGAGAGGTGCTGGACGCAGAAGAGGAGGTGGTAGAGGCGGAGGAGGAGGAGGAGGAGCTGTCGCTGTCGGATTCACTATCACTGTCGGAGGAAGTGTCGGAGTCGCTGTCGGAGTCGGAGCCCGAGCTGGATGTGTCCGAGTCCGAGTCCGAGTCCGAGTCTGAGTCGGAATCCGAGTCGTCGGAACCATCCGAGCTGGACTCGTCCGATGAAGTTTCCTCGTCCGATGAGGTATCGTCCGAAGTGTCAGAGTCGGAACTGGTGGCAGATGCGGCTGTGCCCTTGGCTGTCGGTTGTTTGGTGCCATCGATGCGGATGTGCGAAAGCAGGAGGCGCAGGAGGTAGAGGGGCTTAAGGGAGCCATCGCCCACCGAGATCGAGTGCTCCTTCAGCGTCGGCGGCAGAGTGAACTGCTCGTCGGCGCCGGCGATCACGCCACTCTCGTCTTCGTTGGTGGCCTCAGTGGCTCTGACGATAACCAGCTTGGGGTTGGCGAGTCGGAGGGAATTCAACTTGGTCACGTCCCTGGTCATCGTCGCACTCAGGACCACCTTCTTGGGCTCTCTGCTCTGGATGGGCAGGCCCAGCTCCGACAGGAAGGTTCCGCTGAAGCCGAACGCCTCGGGGGACTTGCGCGCATCCAGCGAGTTCATGACCACATCGACCCACTCTTGGAAGCTCTCGTTCAGCAGCCTATCGGCCTCATCGATCACGAGCCATTCGAGGTGCTTCAGAGTAAACCCTTTGGTGTAGCGGATATGGTCGACAAGTCGACCGGGGGTACAGATGAGAATGTCGACGTTTGGCTCCGAGCGGTGGACGTAGCCCGGCAACGCCTCGCTCGAATCCACCACGTCGGAGATATATTCCTGCAAGCTGAAGTTGGTCCATTCGTCTCCGGTCATTTTGACACTCTGGCGGCGTTGGAATGTTGCGGGCCCGTACACCTGGTCAATGCGCATCAGCGACCGCTGCTCGTCCTTGATGGCCACGTTGCCCACCGCCGATCCCACGCGCAAGCCAGAGCCGGCAGCGCAAAGCTCGCACGCCTCACGAGCCTGCTTCACCAGTTCTCTGGTTGGCACAACAATGAGACCACGGAGCCGAGGGGCAGGAATCTGCTCAAGCGAAGTGACCAGGGGTAGGACGTAAGATAAGGTCTTTCCGGAACCGGTGGCAGCAGACACACAGACATCACCGGGGTGGTTCTTAGGGCCCTGTAGCAGCAGAGGTATGACCGCCGACTGCACGGCAAAGGCCTCCTTGTAGCCATTGTCCTCCAGCACTCGCAGCAGATTCGAATTGATGCCAAGTTCAGAGAACTTCACCTTCTCGGTGGCCGAAGTCCGCAGGGGATTGGCCAGCCACGCCGGAAGAGATGAGTATGTAGGTTTCTCAAACACCTCGGGTACTTGCTCAGGCTGCGGCAGAGGCTCCAATCCCTGCGCTATCACGGGTTCAGCCGTCGTCAATTCCGTGGACTCGGCCTCGTCTGTGTCTTTCTTGCGTGCCTTCTCCAGCTCTTTTGCTTTCATAGATTTCTCGAACTTCGACCTGATACCAGCAAACTTGTCCTTCGATTTCGTGTCGCCATCTTCGACCTGAGTAGATTCTGGCGCTCGAGCAGACTTCTTCGACTCCTTGGCGGTTTTCTTCCCAGCTTCTTCTAGATCCGTAGCTTCCTCAGACGATTGGTTATCAATTCCTGATGTCCTTCGCTTGGAGCTCTTCGACTTCTTCTTATCTTTATCAAGCTGGCGGTCCTTGCTTGGAGTAGGCGCTTCGCTGCGGACCGGCGGGACAGCACTCTCCTTTGTGGACGATGCTTCCGGAACAGCACCATCCTCCGCTCCGGTGACTCGCTTTCTCTTCTTGCGGACTTCTTGAGACGGGGTAGACTCCGGTGCAGCATCCGGATCTTTCTTGGATTTCTTGGTCGGCGTGGGAGTCGAAATAGCGACGGTGGAGCCATCGAGGTCTCTCTTCCTCTTGTGGGATTTCTTCGTGCTCGACGGGGTACCTGAGCTCTTGTGGGGGGTATCTTGACGCGATGAGCGGTCGCCTGCCATGATTGCGATTTATTGAGGGCCCAGTGCGGACGTTGTAGGAGGGGGCGATTAGAAAAATGCGGCGATTTTGCCGCTGTTGCGAGTCTATTCTTTTTTCCAGCGGGGAACCGTTGCTACGGCAGAACACCTCACCGCTCCCAGGACCGCCCGCGTCTCGCGCGTTCGGGATGGCTTCATGCAACCTCCTTTCTCCTCCTTTCGATCGCCCAGTCTATTTTTCTAGGGTGGAGCTGGAGATTGCGTGTGTGATGGACGGCGGATCAATGCACTTGATACATTACTGCGCCAAGCCCCGCCAAATCAGCCCTGGGGCAGCCGCAGCCATGCCTTACAACATTGCGTAAGTCCTGTCGCATGTGCTTCTCGGAACGGATCTAATGGTCTACGCAGTATGGTCAGCGACTTCTTCTTCCCCCAACCAGGTAAGCAGATTGGCTCCGACTGTCTGACAGTTCACTAATTTGCTGAGGTTCGTAGGTGGAGTGGAAAGTCACATCTATCAGCTCTCAACCGTAAGCGACTAGACCGCATTACTCCCTCGATGCTTGTATGCTCATCGGACCACAGAAGCTCATTGATCGTGGCCACAAAGTCATCATCATAACACATGCATACAAAGGGCGGACGGGGGTGCGATACCTGACAAATGGGCTCAAGGTGTACCATGTTCCCTTCTTCGTGATCCACCGGGAATCGACCATGCCGACGGTCTTCTCATTCTTCCCTATCTTCCGCAACATTGTGATCCGTGAGCAGATCCAGATTGTGCATGGCCACGCGAGCTTGAGCAGCTTTTGCCATGAAGCCATTCTTCATGCACGCACCATGGGTCTCCGGACCGTGTTCACGGACCATTCCCTGTTCGGCTTTGCTGATGCGGCATCCATTCTCACCAACAAATTGCTTAAGTTTATCCTAAGTGACGTCGACCACGTTATCTGTGTCAGCCATACATGGTGAGTCGATGTCCTGCAGTTTCTTCCAGGCTCGTCAAACTGAATAGCGAGCAGTAAAGAGAACACGGTCCTTCGAGCCTCCTTGGATCCACTCATGGTGTCGGTGATTCCTAATGCGGTGGTGGCCGAGAACTTCCGACCCGCAGAACCGCGGTCGATGAAGCCTATCGGTCCCAACGACACCATTACTATCGTTGTCATATCCCGTCTGTTCTACAACAAAGGCACTGATCTGCTCATCGCGGCTATTCCGAGGATCCTTGCGTCGCATCCGAATGTACGCTTCATCATTGCAGGTTCCGGCCCCAAAGCGATCGACTTGGAGCAAATGCTAGAGCGTAACGTGTTGCAAGACAAGGTCGAAATGCTGGGACCGGTGCGACATGAGGAGGTCCGAGATGTCATGGTTCGTGGCCACATCTACCTCCATCCCAGCTTAACCGAAGCCTTCGGCACAGTCATAGTTGAGGCCGCCAGTTGTGGACTGTACGTGGTGTGCACTCGGGTGGGTGGCATTCCCGAGGTACTGCCTCAGCATATGACGACGTTTGCGAAGCCTGAGGAGGACGATATTGTCCTAGCGACTGGAAAGGCCATCGCTGCCTTGCGGTCGAATAAGGTGCGAACGGAGCGCTTCCATGACCAAGTGAAGATGATGTATTCCTGGACGGACGTTGCCGAGCGCACTGAGCGAGTCTACCAAGGTATCTCCGGGGATATCAGCCCAGAGGAGTTCTACGGATATTATCCGGGGGAGGGGCTTGAGGCCAGCGGCGACCGTGTGCGCAGCTTTGCGTTGATCGACCGGCTGAAACGATACTATGGCTGTGGTGTGTGGGCAGGCAAGCTCTTTTGTCTGTGCGTGGTGATTGATTTTCTTCTTTACGCTTTCCTGGAGATGTGGTTCCCGCGAGCGAACATCGACATTGCGCGCAGCTGGCCCAAGAAGGTACACCAACGGAACGACAACCACACTTTGGGCAATGACCCAAAGAACGACCGCGATCGTCTAGATACAAACTGACCACGATCATGGAGGCTTACACGAGGGACGAGAGTTTTTCCTCAATATTGCCAGATTACAATTGCTTACTGCTTACTATTGTTTTTAAAGTTCAGATACCCTCATAACAAGCATCCTTGATTCTTTTCACCAATCAGATTAATAATACATGAGCCTACGTGAAACCTCTCGCTCGAAAACAGGTTCCTATCCAGAGAAAAGTCAGGGTCCAGCCCCGACATGGGAATGAACTCAGTGCTTGTGGGTGTTGTCGCGCTTGGTGCCGGGCTCGTACTTCCACTCGGCAGCAGCGGTGGTGGCGGGCTCAGGCTGGCGATCCTCAGCAGCCAGGGCACCCTTGTCCCCGCGCTGGCCAGCGGCAGCCTCATCACGGTCCAGCGCACGCTGGCCGGGGATGTCGCGCTCCATCTTGTTGGCGGCGGAGGCGCCGACCTGCTCGAGACCGGCGGTCTGACCCTTGCGACCGGGCTGGCCATCGTGACGCAGCTCGGCGCTAGACTGGCCCGAGCCGGGGTGGCCGAGGCCCTTGTGCACGTCCTGCGAAGTGGCACCCATCAGGGTGTCGGCGGCGGAGGTCTTGACGGACTCCTTGCCGTGGGAGCGCTCGACGTTGGGGTTCAAGGCCTGACTGCCGACCTCGCTGGTGGTGTTGGCGCTGTAGGAGTTGCTGGCGGGGGCAGTGCCGGCAGGGTACGTCTCAGCGCGGAACTCGGGAGCGAAGTCGGCGGGAGCAACCTTGCGACCGGGTTGGTGCTGTTGAAAACCATCTGTCAGAATCGGACTATCATTCAAGCAAGATGACCGGGGAAGAACATACACCTCCCTCCTGAAGAGGAGCGGTGGGCTTGATGGAGGGGGCGAATTCGCCCTGCTGGGGGTTGGCAACAGAGTCGGGGTTGGCGAAGTGGCTCATTGTGAATGTGTTTTCCGTTGGAAAGTGGTATATCTATGGTTCAGATGGGAGAGAAAAGGATAGAGTGTCGCGTGCCTCGTGAATGGGTGTTTCGTAGTAGTTCTGGATTGAATCTGGTGTAGGGAGGGAGCAGGACGAGAGCAGCAGCTTATAAGAGCTTGTGGTCAGACCCGGCCTCGAGCTTAGGGCTTCTTCTGATTTGGGGCGGCGGCGGGAGGGTTACGTCAAGGTGACTCTGACTGACTTCATACCTATCTTATTCAACCCTTCACGCCTGCACCTGCAACCAAAATCACGCTGATAACGTCATGCAATCCATGCAATTCATGCACTGCGATTGATCCTGACTGGGCCTGGAATTCGGCGGATTGCGTTTTTCGTCCTTGGCTGAAGGGGGTGGTAGACGTGGGCTGTTGCTGTGCGTGGTGGAGAAAACTGATGTGGATGATGGTCCTTTGCGCCCAAACGCATACAGAGAGGGTGTTTATCAGGCTATGCGACCGGGAGTAATATGATGTGAGTGCATTCTTGGTTTGAGATTTAGGGATGACTGGAATGATTGTCAGATCTTGATGCCTGATGATGCGAGCTCCTGCAGCCTCCCTCCGGAGGGGAGGGACACAGGATCAATTTGTCTCTATCTGCGGTATGCAACGAAGCTATAGGATATATATATATATATATATGTGTGCACACAGGAACTCGAAGGTATCATCATCGCATCAAATCAGGACAACTGAAACAAAGTGCACAGAATAAGGGTAGGTATCTTTAAAAAAATAAATGCCCTCCAGACGCCGAACGACAAAACACAGAATGCATCCAGTAAATAATCCAGACGGTGGGTAATAAGGCATAAGCAGACGCGGTAAGCTGCACCCAAGCGCATTGTCACCATCGCAGCATCACCGCATCACCGCATCACCGGCGGTCGACCCTCCTTATTCCACTTCACGCGACTCTGCACCCATTCCACCGCCTCCTGCACCCCCGACCCCATCAAGGCACTCACCGGCAACACGCGACTATCGCGCACACCCGCCCCGGACTCCCCCTCAAACACCTTCCGTACAAACCCCTCCTTGATGCGGACCACCTCAACCGAGTCCTCCCGATCCTGTTTGTTGGCCAACACCAGGATCGGCACGCCGGCCACGTCCGCGTGCTTCAGCACCGACTCCAGCACCTGCCGACACTCGTCCAACCGCCCAAAGTCGCTTCCGGGGGCGTTGATCCCGACACTCTCGGCTGTAAACCGCGTCGCCGTGGGAGAAGCGGTCCCGAGGTCGTTGTCGCTGGCGCCGCCATCGTCGTTGTCCCACGCTTCCGCCTCCTCCTCCTCCTCCGCCGCCGCCGCCGCCCCCCCAGCGGCAGTCTTATTGCCGGCGGGATTACTCGACCGGCGCCGTTGCGGCAGCCGCGTGATGTCGGGGTCCTGGCCAACGTCGGTGCTGTCAACGACAAAAATGATGGCGTGGCAGCTAGAGTAGTAGCTCTGCCACAGGTTGCGCATGGAGATCTGGCCGCCGACGTCCCAGATCTTCAGATACATATCGCGCAGGGAGATGGTGGCGACGTTCTGGCCGACGGTCGGGACGGTCTTGCCGATGTTGGTGGAGAGGAGGGAGGCCGGCAGGCTGCCATCGGAGCGAGGGGGGGAGTAGAGGGCTTTGATCTGGGAGAGGAGGGTGGTTTTGCCGGCGTTGTCGAGGCCGAGGAGGAGGACGGAGTATTCTGATGGTTTGAGAGGCTTAGTACAATTGGGGTTCTGTAGTGGACGTAGAGCGAAAAAGGGAAAGGGTCGAGCTACTCACCCTCTTTACTCGTGGCGTACATGTACAGCGACTTGGCGAGGTGATACATGGTTGGGGATTCCGCTCAGGATGGATAGAATCAGTTGTCGCGGAGGGTCAATCATGTCATGGCAGCGAGTGAGAGGCGCACTCCTTTGTCTGTCTACCGTCTTTTTGGTCTGTCTCCCGGTTGTTCTCTCTTGCTCTCTTGCTCTCTTCACTGGCGTCTGCGATGGTGACAGTTGACGCTATTGCGGAAGGCATGCGGGAGGCTCCGCGTCAGCATCTCCTGATGCGGTAAGCAGGGCTTGGGTCAATGCCCTTAGCCCTAATTGCCCGATGCGTCAACCCCGCAGACGGGAGGAGACCATGTGAAGATTTGCAAGTATGAAAGAATTAAGAATTAAGAAATAACCATTGCATGCATGGGTAAGTCTGCAGGATTACTTGAGTATTTACACTATAAAGTATATTGTACAGTGCACACACTGAGCACTGAGTATTTATTATACCCAGTTAATACTCCGTAGTTCCACACTACATCAGCCAATTCCTTGTTTTTCACACCCCGGATTCGTATTCTAGACTTGCTTGGCTGGGCGGCGGGGAGGCGGAACCAGCGTTCAAGTCACGATTACATATCATCCATTCTCTTCATCCATCCATCCTCCGTCTTTGTAGATTCAAAAAGTGTTTTGTCAGCCGGCTGCGGAATCTCCCCCTCCCTCTTCTGGTCTCCTCTTTTCTTACTCATGCCATTTCGTTCCTACTCTTCTCTTTCTTCTTACTCCCCCCCCCCTCCCCCACCCAATTCTTCTTTCTCACTCTTTCTTCTCTCCTCCCCAAGTGCTCCATGTAACGGTCGCCACTCGATGGCCTTCCCCCTGGCAAGTATTTGTTTTTCCGCTGGGATCCACTGATCGCATCCCCGCGCATGTCTCGGTCAGCATGCCCCACGCTGGATGACCGGCCGGAGGTCTCTCAGCGGCCTTCAATGGATTGTATTGACACCATTATTGTTGGTATGTCGCCATTGATCTCCTCTCTCCGTGTCATTGGACCTCCCCGGGTTCTTGCTCACGCTCTATCTTCGTGCTAGGGAACGGCCCGTCAGCCATGATCCTTTCCTTCATTTTGCATGGTCATATTCCCTACTACCAGGCCAATCCGCCGCATCCGGACCCTCTGCTGCATGCCAAGCTGCTGCAGAACCCGGCTCTACTTCAGGCCGACGTGAATCCGCTGACCGAGCATTTTGCCGCCTCGCGTTTGTCATACTCGACCCAGGCACTGCCGGTAAACGTGCTCCTGGACACCCTGGTACGACCCAGCGTGGACGTCGAGGAGCTCGAATGTGTGACCAATGTCGAATGGCGGCACGAGCCCGAAAAGGCGGTGCCCCATCTCGTTTTCGGCGATGCGGCGTGCGCCGGCGGTCAATGGACCGATAACCCCATGCCCGCAAGCTGGGATATCCAGACCCTGAGCTATGCGTCGATGTTGTCGCTGCCAGGGTATTCATTCGCTGACCACTACCGAGCCGTGACCGGGAAAGAACTGCCGGCATTCACGCGGCCCAGCCGGCAGGAAACGGCCGATTACTTCCGTCGGTATCCCGGGGCCGTGCACATCGGTGACGTTTTCCGTTTCAACCAAACCCTGTCGGGGATCTCGCGCACGGACCAGGGCTTCTATATCCGCTCACATCAGCTTCATTGTAAACATCTGGTCTTGGCCACGGGTATCTTCACCGAGGTCCTACAGCCTAGTGCCATGCTGCAGCCGTTGCGCTCCCTCGACCCCGTTCCTTCCCTTTCATTGTTGGTAGTGGGGTCGGGGTTCTCTGCGGCGGATGTGATCATCTCTGCTCCCAAAGACCAAAAGATCCTCCATGCCTTCAAGTGGGACCCAGAAGCGCGGCCTTCTCCTCTGCGCGGGTGTCACCATCAGGCCTACCCGGAGTATGCGGGGGTGTATCGGCTGATGAAACGCGCCGCGCTGGCGGCTAGCCCAGGGCCGCCCAAACGGGGTAAGATGCGACGGACGACGTCGACCCCGTTCCTCGAGACGCGGAAGTGGGAGGAGGTCTACGAGGGCCTGCCGAATCTGGAGTTCGCGGGAGTTGAGATGAAGGGCGATCATGCCCTTGTCACGTTCCGTCAGCCTGATGGGCAGACACTTGTCCGTGCAGTTCGTGGACTGGTCTATGCCACGGGGCGTCGAGGGACCCTGAAGTATCTTGATCCTGCTTTGCTTGCGGAAGTCTTGGGTCAGACAGATGCGGATCCCACCGTCACCAACCAGAGTCTCCGTGCGAAAGCCCTCAACGATATGGAAGTGGCGCCAGATGTCTTCGTCATTGGCAGCCTAACAGGAGACTCTCTAATCCGTTTCTCTTACGGGAGTTGCGTGCAGGCGGCGGGCAAGATCGTTGGGGCGTCGAGCGGACAAGATCGGGCGCGGATTAGCTCGGCTCATACCTCCCGTCCGTCGTCATCATCTGTCGGGGTCTTGCGGGGGCTTGATGGGCATGATGTCCATCCCGCTGGGGTCAGCCGGCCCCAGGGAGACGAGGATCGGTCGGTGCTATCTACGATCTCGGAGCGGGTTCTCCCCACCGGACTGTGGAAATGGGTTCGGAGTTGGTGGAACGTGAAATGAGTTTACGATACGGATGGCGTGTGTATATGTTTTAGATTTGCTGTCGGCGTCCTGTATATCTGACCATGGGTCATGCTGTTAATAGACCTGATCTACTGCTAGATTGTATAACTTGCTTGGCCGTTTGTGCCGACATACACGATGATATTACCTGAGAGAATAAACCTATATTTATCAGTCTCTGTCTTCCTCCCAATCAACCCATAATCTGCAGCTGGTCATCCGGCGGCCACCGCGTCTGAGCAAAGCTAAGGCACCGCTTGATACTCTGGAGATACTTGCGCGTGCTCTCATCGCTCAGAATATGCGCCTGCTGGTCACCCTGATGCAGCTTCTCACGCGCCGAACGCTCGTGGATACCAACCATGGTCACACCGATAGGCCAAGCACTAGAAGACAACCGTTAGCCCTGCAACGGGATGCGCGGGGGGGGGATCGGAGATAAGACGAGGAGGACCCACGCTTTTCCAATACTCAACCGCAGATACGCATCATTGGCATCGACATAGCGCCGCAGCTGCGCCTTGTGCACAATCTCAACGACATGGTCCAGCACGCCGGCATCGATATCCCCCTTCTCAAACTTGCGGAACAGCGGCTTCATGTTCTCGCGCGACTGCACCATGGCGTTGTACGCCTGGCGGCCCTGCAGACTCTGCTTGACGGAGACGTCGCGATGCGCCAGCGCCGCCTCCCACTCTTTCAGGACCATTGTGAAATACGAGGCCAGCTGGCGGAACAGGAACTTCTTGCCTGCATCGTCCTTGGGGGTCGTGGCGGGGATCTTCATCTCCACCTCCGGCACCAGCTCCAGCGTCGTGGGAATCGGCCCGTCATTGAGCTTCTGCTTCTGCACCGCCCTCCCCCGACCACCGTCCGTGGTATCGTCCTTGTTCACCAGCCGCCAATACCGTCGCAACCGCGCCTTCTCCCCCTCCCCGAAGAGCGTCACCGGCTCCCCCAGCTCCCGTAACCTACTCCTCACCTCATCCGCCGACAGCTCCTCCCCAGGCGTAGCATCCCCCCCACCATCACCACCACTACCACTCTCTTCGTTACTGGAGGGCACCTCCGGCAGACCCAGTCTCCTCCTCCGCTCCTGTTCTTTGGCTGCCTCCTCCTCCTCGCGCCTTCGCCGCGACTCCTCCGCCAGCCGCCGCCTCTTGTCCTCGCGCTCCCGCCGGCGCGCGGCCTCCTCCTCGTCGAGTTTACGTTTCTGGGCGTGTCGCCAACCTGTTGGTCAAGAAATTCGGGCCGAAGATGCTGGTACTATACATGTTTACCTGGGGTGCGATCGATCGACTGTATGATGCTGGAGGAGTAGCACTAATTGTTTCGGTGTGACAGGACTCTTCGTGATGGGACAGGGTCTCACCAAGTCTGCGACAGGTTTGATCGCTTGTCGATTCTTCATGGGGATGTGTGAGGCAGGCTTTGTTTCTGGTGTGTCATACTCGTCAGAAGCAGCGTGCATCTTCATCATGACTCACAAGATGTTTGCCACAGGCTGCGCTTATTTGAGCGGAAGTTACTACAAGCGGGATGAGTTTCTTCGTCGTTATGCAATCTTCTTCAGCGCCCACATGGCAGCAGGCGCATTCAACGGGGTAAGAGTCTATGATACTCGACTTGCATGCTCATTCTCTGACAATCTGCTCCAGCTTTTCTCGAGTATTTTAACGCATCTGGAGCTGGATGGATATGCAGGCTGGCGATGGTATGAATTCCCGCATGATTGCCCAGCATTCCTCATCTTCTCACTCGTAACAGGCTGTTCCTGATTGAGGCTATTATGACGATGGGTGTCAGCATTGTCTGCTACTGGATTGTCGTCCCCTTCCCCGAGGATGCGACATTCTTGGCCCCCGAGGAGAAGGCATTGTTGCTCGCGCGGTTGGAGGCCGATGAAGGAAGCCTACGCGACGATCCGATTTCGCTCCCTCGGGTAATAAAAATGGCTCTGGACTGGAAGATCTGGATTTGGTTAGTGAGGCATTGAGCTTCAAAATCGGGTCTGTTGACTGACATGAGCATCAGTGTCTTGGCCTATCTCGCCGCGGAAGAAAATGCCAGCTCTTTGGTAAATTTCCAGCCAACAATCCTCAAAGACCTTGGCTGGAGGAGTCGCTCAGCCCAAGAGCACACCATCCCGGTCTACGCCGTCGCCTTCGTTTTGACCCTTTCGAGCGCGTGGTTGAGTGACTATCTTCGCCACCGCTATCTTTTCACATTGATCGGTTCGGTGCTGATTGTCATCGGCTGGAGCATTGAACTTGCGCAGATTCCCTCCGCCGGGGTCCGGTACTTGGGAATGTTCTTTGTGGCTTCTGGAGCTTTCATCATGATGTCTATTTTTGTGGTGTGGCTGTGTATCAACCTTAGCAAGGGAGTGAAGCGCAGTGTGAGCATGGGCGTGCTGCCAGCGTTCGGCAACTGCGGTGCTTTCGTCTCTGGAAATGTCTTCATCACCAGCGAGGCCCCCAAGTATCCGACCGGGATTGGGGTTGGTCTGGCATTCGCAGTCGTGGCCGGACTGGCCATTGGAGAGCATGCAGGACGTGAGAGATGATGCTCATCCGGGCTTTCGCTATCAGTTGTAGTCTCAATGTGTTGACGAGAGAGATGTATGTTCGATGAGTTGCTTTCTATGATGAATATACAAAGTCAGATGCCTTCGTTCGGTGGCCGTCTCCAGCTGTAATTTCTCTTTGACTAGCATTGAGAATCTGATCGTAGATCTCGAAGCGGTGAGCCGAATGAAGAACAATGATTGCGGGTCAATGCTGTCGTGCTCTTTACATCGAGTGGTGGTGCATTCCTCTAAGGATTTTCATCTATAATGATAAGCCTTTGAGCTGCTTCGCCTGCCATGGATTGTATGTGGGTCGGTTCCTGTGGCAGCCTAAGGCAACACTGACCTACTCGACCATGCTCCGAGTGCATCAACCAATTCGAACTGGTCGGCGCTTCTTCTCGACAATTGAACTAAATTAGTTCTGCCCTTATAGGGCTGGAATTGCCACCAGTAATACAAGGATGGCATTCTTCCAGTAATGTGAGAACTCTCGTTGACCCGCCGGACTCGTACATAGGCGGAGATAAGGGCGACACTCGCATCACCAACAAGTATTAATGAATCCAGACCACCAAGCAACTTCTCTCATATTCAGTGAGTGGGAAGAATACACCGTCCCCAGCAGGGAATCTGATAAAGTGGAAAGAGGTGTTGGGAACCATGGAACTCGCTCCATACCAATGACGTCGGAAGCTGAAACCCCAACTTACAACTTTTTCCCCCTCATTTTCCCTCCACAGTTTGCCTCTCCGGCCTTTCCGTGCCTCATCCCTCAATTGCAATTCCGCCAGTTCAGTGCATCCCCTGCAATTGCATTGTCATCCTATCTATTCCTCCCGTGTCGCATGGCTGGGTACCGCAATGGTGGTTTCTGCCTCCGCAAATGAACCTGGCACACGATCATTATCTGCGCACCATCAGCCTGGTGACGCAGATTCTGTGCTGCAGCATCACCACCATCTGTCTGGTCCTGCGCCTTATTGCCGCCTTGTGGATCAAGCGAACGGTGAACGTTGAAGACGGTGTGTGGGACTAGACCTTCACTCCTCACTCCTCTTGAATCGAATGCTAATAAGCACGTCCAAGCATTCTGCACATTATCATGGGTATGCCGCCTGGAATTTCCACGACACCTCCCCCCACCCCCCACACTGGTCCTCTCTCTAACTCTCTCGAGCTCTAGGTCCTGTTCTTTACCTACTGCATCTGCACCATAATGTGTATGGTCTCACTGTGCTTCCCATGTGGGCTTTGTCATTGACCTGTGCTCTCTCGTAGATCTTCACTATGGTGGGGGCAAACCAGTGGCCCTCTTGACACCCTTTCAAACCAGGCTCGTTTACAAGGTATCGGTTCTCACTGTGCTCTGGCTAGCGGCGGAGAGCTGACGGGCATAGTATTACTACGTCCTGACGGTCATCTACGCGCCCATGGTGCTGACGGTCAAAATCACTCTCCTGTCCATCCTGGCCCGAATCTTCACCGTCCGTCAGGTGCAAATCATCAGCATCGACGTGGTGCTAGCGGTGACGGTCACCTACTACACGATCATCTTCTTCATCAAAGTCTTCATCTGCCTACCGGTCTCGTATTTCTGGACGCATTACGACCAGGAAGATCAATGCCTGGACAAAGCGGCCGTGATCCTAGCTGACGCGGTGATGAGCATTGCGACCGACCTGGCCATCATACTTCTGCCGGCATTCCTGACGATCTCGCTGAACCTCTCCCACATCAAGAAGATCAAGGTCTCCCTCATGATGGGCTGCGGCGGCATGGCGATCGGCTTCAGCATCTACCGACTGGTCCTGGTCATCCGCGAGCACGAGGATCTCGAGTCGACCCTCGTCTATTTGAAAATTCTCCTGTCCGGGTAAGTCAGCCTGAACACAAACCCCTTCTCCACCCCCCATCAAGACATCAAAGGACTCAGACCAACCAGGAACGCCGAGGGCGGGTTCGCGCTCATCTGCTCGTGCATTCCCGCCATCCATCTCCTGGCAACCCAGCGCAGACGCAGAAACTCACAGCGGTCGATTGCGTCGATGGGTGAGCTGTTGCGGCCGTCCTTTCCCCCGCCCCCGGCCATCGAGTTCGCAGGGCCGGCTAGTCACCATGCCCAAGCCCACGTGACATCCACCGCCCAGCGCGCCTCCCTGGTGGTCCCGGAGCTGCAGGATCGAGCAGCCAGCGAAGCCGCGTCGGACTCGAATCACTGCGTCCGGGAGGTGCTGCTCTCGCGGCGGTCGGAACGAGTACACGTGCCCGGTTGGCGGGATGATTCGCAGGGCTCGTCAAGTGAGACGTGACTGAAGCACTGCACCCGTTGTGCAACCTGGGGGGGAGCACTTCGCTGAGGGCCTGGTGCCTGGTGCCTGGTGCCTGATCGGGGGAGGACAGCTGGGATTACCGCGTCTTTGGCGCCGGATGCCGCGCGCAATATACAGGCGAGCGGGATATTAGCCGGCCAGCAATGCCGAGGGGGTGCATCCGATTCAACTTCCGATCATCGGCACTAATTCACTAAGTTTACTTAAGTTAGTTAATCAGTTAATCTATAATCCATTACGTCATTGCCGAGGAGAGTATGATTTCATGCCTTGGAAGTCAGGCATCGAGCGCAGTTTTACCGAGAAGGAGAGGGGTTCTTGTATAGATTCATCATCATATCTCATTGAAGCGGATAAGGACTTCGACCAGCGCAGCCGGAGTCCAGAACTCCCGATTTCAGTTGTAACCTACCATGTCCAGCACTTGTCTATCCCGTCCCAGGACCACGCGCGCCTGACCCTTGTGGGTCCGTTGTCCGTCCGACAGACCACGAAAAATCCCCGATCGCACCGAATCCAGGTAGAGTTCATAGGCAGGCATATAGCCCTGCACGAAGGCCACCACTTCCTCGTCCGTCATGCCCTGGTGCTTGGCCTGATGGAGGGCATGTTCCTGCTGCATGCGCCAGCGGTACACATTGGCCAGATCGTCGGTGTCGAGATGCACCAGAAAATCCAGGTGCTGGGGGCCCATGAACATGTCGCAGTAGTTGCGCAGGCTCTGGTTGATGGTGTAGTAGCTAGACAAGGCGTGGTTCTGCAGGGTGTGTGTTGAGAAGGCGGACTCGGCATGCGCGGGCGACGGGGGGTGGTGGTGGTGCTCCTTGGCCTCCTTCCATTTGGCCTCGATCGCCTCCTCGCTCAGTGGCTGGAAGCCGACACACCAGCCTTCCAGCACCAAGACCTCCACGGGGGAGTCCATGGAGACCGGGACCCGACGCCACTGGTCGCGCGGCACGCGATCGCCTTCCCCGTTGAATTGGCTCTTATCGAATGCAGGAATGCAGACCTCAGAGGGCGAGGTCTCGGAGGTGACCGTCAGGCTGTTGAAGAACTCCCGAAGCAAGACGGGGTCATGGGTGCCCGGCTGGCCGCGCATCTTCCAGAGCTCGTTGGCAGGGTTCTCCTGCCGCAGGCGGACCAGCCCCTCGTGGGGCAGATAGAAGTCGTCGAGGGAGACATTGATGGTCCGGACGTGGTACTTCTCATTCAGCAGGCGCACGATGGCGGAGGTCCAGGTAGTCTTGCCGCTGCCCTGCAGACCTGTCAGAGCCAAGATGAAGGGCTTTCGTTGGCGGGCTTGCGAGGCCTGGAGGTCAAGATGGCGTTGGATGTGGGGTCGGACGTGCGCCAACAGCCGATCGATGGTCTCGTCGGGAATCATGGTGGGCGGATGGAGTGATACCCTTGTGCGGAAGAGGAGAGAGATATAAATATAGATCACTCATGCGCAGACGCATGCAATGACTAAGAAGGTACAGTCCAGTACTGTGTGTACTTGTGAAGTAGTGGAATGCGATCGGAAGATGGATGCGTTGTTTGTTACCGGCTGGTGGCTGGAGGGGTAGGACGATGAGTCAGCAGGCCCCGGCGGAGGAGTTTTGCTCCGAGCGAAAGCCGGGGGTTTCTTGGTCCGAATCTCCTCTTTTTTCCCCCTCCGCACGTTGTTCTCCTCCTTCTCTTCTTCTCTTCTTCACACATTAAAATCGCCATGAATCAACCAGGGTCCATCAGCCACACTCCAGCCTTCATGCATCGTGAAGATGTCTGTTATGGGGACAGCTGCCGCGGATTCCGGCGCCAATCCGTAGCTGGAGAAACCCGAACCAGCCAGATCGCCAAAGACCATACTAGCCGCATTGTAGAGATCCGGGGTGTTGCTGGTGGAGAGCAGTGAGGCAGGCTCGAAGCCAGCCGGGGGCGGCATCGGCAGATCGCCCCACGATTCCGGGCCCCCACTGGGAGCCACACTGGAAAGGGAAGGGGGGGAATCCCCGGCAATGCGGACGGCCTCGGATCGGTCGTGTGTATCATCAGGAGGCTTCTCGAGAGCGGAACACAGATCCTCAATGGCCTCAATGCATGTCTGCGGCCATTCCCGTTCCCGCTGTGCAATGTTCTGGAGCACGGCAATCCCAATGCGCGCATATCGAAGGGCCCCCTCATTCGAAAAGTGATGAGTCCAGGCCGCATAGAGGAGAATCAGACACGACATCCACACCGTCCAGGTGAAAGAGGGGACAATGAGAGGGGGACGGTCGTCGCTGGGTGGCGCCGTGATGTAGCCATGCAGCGCCGCCAACAACGATCGCGACGAATTGATACACGTCAGAAACGCGGCTTTGTAGTCGGCCGTGGCCGGATTGTCCGTCGCCAGTAACGGCCGATGCAGGGCAATCTTGGCTTCGTGGCGTAGAACCACCAACAGTAGCGAATGGAAGGGCTGCAATGGAGAGGCAGCAGCCGCGGCCTCGTCGCAGGCCAAGGGATAGACATCATCGTACACCTCATGCCACCACTGCAAGAGTGCGCGGTCCACTTCCGCCGCCTCCCCCCGGCTCTCTCGACTGTGCATGATGGATTTGTTGCGCAGCTCGGAAATCAAGCCCCGGACACACGCAAACTGAGCCAGATGCCGTAGGAGCTTCAGCCGGGGGTCGTCCGGCCGGGCCAGCACTTCTCCATTGTCCAGAGTGTGTCGTTCTGCTCCAGGGTAGCATACATCCAGATCGTCATCCCGGATGCTCAGGGGCACTCCCAGGGCTTGCGTCAGATATCGCTCAAGGCAGTAGATTGACCAGAACAGGCGGCGACGGATCAGCACATCATCGGGGGTGAAGCAGGAGTAACGGGCCGGGCAGCGATGCAGGCCCAGATGAAACGCGGTGCGAGTCACAAATCCCCCAATCCGCGACGCCGCATTCAGACGCAGAATGGAGGTCAGGAACAACTGAATGCTCACGGCTGCCTGGAGTAGGGGAATCGAGGACGGTTCGTCCAACAGATCTCGTAGGCCATTCATCGCTTCATGCACCGTCTGGTAGACCAGCTCCGCCGGCATCGTCGGCGCCACCGAGGCAGCGCCTGGGGCTTGTCGGTTGTCAATGGCAGCGATGGACATGACCGAGCGGATGAGGACGGTATCCGTGCGACTGACGGACCGGATGCCCCCCTGGCTCGCCCGCTCCATGGCGCGGAGAATGTGCGGAGCATGAATGAAGGGGTAGATGGGGTGCCAATTCTGGAAATACTGGCGGGAGAGTTGCAGAAATTGGTCAAAAGTGAGTCGGGGGTTGGTCATATCAAGCTCCTGGGATGTCCATAAGGGTGCCTGTGCCTGTGCCTGTGCCTGGCCTGGATTGAGGCGCAGGTAGTCGTCCTCCCCAGGCACTAGGCTCTCATGGGGATGGCCAGCGCGAGCCTGTTGCTGCTGCAAATCGGCGGAGCGACGAGCGAAAGCATGGTAGACCGTCCGGACAAAGTGGATGCCACTGGAGCTCCCGAGAAAACTAGCGGAAGTTTCATCCTTGCGCATGATGCCCAGCTCGCGGGGTGAAGGCCGCGATGTCCCCGTCGTCGACGCCCGCTTGCGACGTTTGGCCCGATCGACATCCTCGGGCGCCGGAGAAGCAGCATTCATCCTGGTCGGAGCCGATGGAGGGACTGCATGAGAATTGGAGGAAAGGGGGGGTGGTATATGTCATTCAAACCAATCAGAGGTTCAGAACATGTTAATACTGTGTACGGAGTAGTATTCTCGTAGTCAGTTATCAGCTCCGTAAGTTGTTAGTGCGTAGTGGAGAAGTGGGCAAAAATGTATGTAGAACACGGAGTGAAGAAATCACGTGAGGAGTAACCAGAGATGGAAGAAACGGGGTGTTCCCCCTACGGAGTTGTCCAACTCCGCCTCATCTCCCACTCTTGCTTGCGATGACACATTACGTATTAGGTCTAAGTACTGCCAGTCTGTACACATCAGAAGCTACTTCCAAAGGTCAGGGTCATAACTCGAGCGCAACTCGCATCATCTATACTATCCAAAAATTCTCATCATATACGGTACAGTACATGCAACAGGTCCAATGTTCTCCTACTAGTCACGAAACACACTATGCACCCATGACCCAAAGGGGCGATGCTACTTAGTCATCGTGGTCAGAATCTGCAATCGTAGTCATTCAGACATGTTCCTTCTGTTCGAAAGAGCCTTCGGACTGCTCCTTCAACTGGTCCCGCTGGTAAAGCTCAGCCTCGGTCACCTCGCCTTGAGGCAAGCTACGCGCCATCGACACGATCTGCCAGGGGGTCGGGGCATCCCGGAAGGCATGATCGAGCAGTTCCAGGTTGCGGTTCATCGTCTCCGGGTAGAAGAGCGCGACCGAGATGGGGATACACGCCGAGATCACGGCATACATCACATAGTAGCGGTAGCCGAGGGTATCCAGCGCCACAGGGGTCACCATCACCACCACAAAGTTCCACAGCCAGTGGTTCGCCGTCGACACGGCACTCATCGCGGTTCGCAGGTGGATGGGAGCCACCTCAGTGCAGTATAAGAAGTTTCCCCCCAGGAAGCCGATCGGGTAGAAGAAGTTAAACAGGAAAATAAAGGTGGCCGCGGTGATGGATGCCCCTTGGTTAGTACTGGGGAAACTAGAAGTGATGGCCATGACTGTCATGCAGACACACATCCCTGTGCCACTGATGATAAAGACCGTCCGGCGGCCCAGTCGATCAATGCAATAAAAGGCAATAAAGCAGCAGAAAAACTTCCACGTTAGGGCGCAGGCAGCCAGGATCTTGGCGAGGGCGGCGCTCATGTGGAGGTTCTCCGCGAAGATCGTCGAGACATAAACGGAGATCAGGTTACCACCGCACATCTGCTGGAAGAATTGCAGGAAAAAGCAGAGCAGGAATCGATACCGCAGGCGATCCGGATCATCTCCACGGTTGAACAGAACCCCCAGCAGCGAAACCTGCCTGACACTGGTCTCCAGCGCGGACTGCACACCACTGATCTCGGCGGCAATGGCCTCATCGTCGGGGTCGAGGCCCTTGTAGGCCGCCAAAGCAGCAACCGCCTCACTCGTCCGGTTGACGCTGATCAGCCACCGCGGGGATTCGGGCAGGCAGAAGACGCTGCCCGCAACCATCACCGAGGGGAGGAACGACAGCGCCAGGGGAATGCGCCATTGGAGAGTGGAGTAAGGCATAAAGGTAAAGGCGAAGTCGATCCAGTTGCAGAGCGCATAGCCCAGACACATAAATACACCCGTCAAGATAACATGTTGGCCCCGGTTCTTTGCCTCGGAGCACTCCGCCAGCCAGACCGGCACCGCAACACTGAACTGGCCCACTCCAGCGCCCAGGATCAAACGGCCGATGACCATTTGCACCAGCTGGGAAGCCGACACCTGCAGGACTTGTCCGATGAGGGTCAGAATCGAGCCCAGAAACACCGTCCTGCGCCGGCCAAACCGGTCACCAATCAACATGCATGATAAGGCCCCGAGGAGAGCTCCGATCTGAAACGAGGCAACCACCGCCCCTTGGCGGGTCGATTGGTGCGACTTGAGATCGCCAGTGGTATTGATGGTGTCGATGGCAGGGAAGGTGTGCACCCAACTCTGTAGAGTCGCGAGGGGGCCCACGCCCGACTGATTGTAGCCAAAACACACAAAGGCCGGAGCCACAATGAGGGCAATCTGGACCTGATGCAAGGCTCTTCCGGTGAGGCCCTTAGCCTGAACCCGAGACGGGGCCATGGGTAGAGTAGAAGAGAGGCAACACAGAGGGATGAGATGAGAGTGACAGTAAGTGAAGAGGCGCCAAGAGCACCAGCATGACAGGCTGCGAGCATGGCTTTATAGCCGGCGAGATGCGAACCCCCGCAACATGCCCAGCTGGGGATTTCTAGCTTCTGCCCCAGAATCCCACGCTGGGGCCCCGCACAAAACCGGAGAGGATTCACATCCTGACAAATGAGGAGGCAAACGAGGATGGGGTGCGTTGGGGTACGTTGGGGTTGGTTTGCCGGTGTGGGAAACGAGGCCCAACCGGGGCCCTACAACCAGCCTCTGCAGGTACATTATCGCCTACACTCAAGTCAATCGATGACTCTAGACTTACAATTCTAAGAGTCCCATGCCATCCTATCCGTCACGCCCAGCCTGCCTAGAAGCGAGGTGTGGGAGAGAGTGCGTGGGACAGACATGAACCGCCTAGGTAAGCCAAGCGATCACGCCGGACAAGCTTTGTTTTGGCATTATTTTGCCCTTGCTTTGCTCATGAGGTGATCTCTTAGTTGCTGCCTCACTACTACGGAGTACTGCTCTTCCCCTCCAGCGTCCAACTCGAGTAGTTACACGTCATCATCCTCTATCGCCGGTCACCCCCACAATGAAAATGATATGGGAGGCGGAGGTCATGCGAACCGGGGGAGAAGGAAGAAGCGAGGTCTATAAGGAGATACAAATCTCCATCTTGTGCGAAAGAGTGAGCTCGCGAGGAGATATCCAAGTCCGAGGATTGAGTTAGGGTCAGCGGGAGGCCGATTGGTCGGGATGCCGTGAGTGCAACTAGCCTGATCCACTGGAGGGAAGTCTGAAATGAACCGAGTCGGACTAATTCAGGTCCGGATCAGAGCATTGAGGGCGAATGCGAATGAGGTGAAAGACAACAGGGAAAAGAAATGAAAGACTACTCCGGCCGAGCGGACTTTGTGCCTGAGGCAGAGATTCACAGACAAAGACTCCGGAGAATCTCTTCGCCGTGCAATGCGTTCCGAAAGGCCATCCGTTTTGAGAATTTCCGCTGCTCATCCCTTCGCTCTGATTGGCCTCTGACCTCACTCTCTACGTACCTTACTATTAACTTACCAGGTACTCGCTCCAGTTGCATACTAGAAGTTCAAGTTAATTCCCAGGAATCCCCACGAACATCGTTCTTACGTAGTATGCAGGATGCACTGCCATAGACTCGTCTATCATCAAATCAGCCCGCAACCTCAATCCGGTTTCCAGTGGTTTCGTAATGCCTTCACTTTCCTCCGATATGATGGAATCCCCCGGGCCGAGGAAATACGCTACCGATTATCGGCACTTTCTTCGGGATAACGCCTAGGACACAATTCACATAAGATATAGCGAAGCTGCTCCCTCAGGAAGAACCGAGTATATCATGGTTAATGACAGATCAGCTAAGATCACAAACACACATCTCTTTCCTTGAACCTCAATCCCACCTACCCTATCCCAGCCATGGCGCCGTCGATCCACAACGAGGACTTCGCTGCCTCAGTCCAGGCCATACAGCCCACCCGCCTCGATAGCCCTTCATGCAAGATTGGCATCAACGGTTTTGGTCGGATTGGTAAGCTTCTATGCTAGATTTGACGCCTTGTGGGGTCTTGTTGACCATCTCCGGGTACCAGGCCGGAATGTGCTGCGCGCATCCCTGAATCGCTCGGACCTCGAAGTCGTCGCCATCAATCACACCTGCAACTCCATCAAAGACCTGATCTACCTCATCCGCTATGATGGTACGATGGGTCGTATGGATCCCCACAAGGAGATCATCGCCGTCAGCGATCATCTGATCACCATCGGCGGCCAGCCCATCCGGTTGATCTCCGAGCGGGACCCACGCCAGATCAACTGGCGCGATCTGGGGGCTGACTATGTGGTGGAGAGTACGGGCAAATTCACCAAGCGGGAGTTGGCTTTGCAACATGTCTCCCATGGCCAGGCCAAGCGCGTCATCATCTCTGCGCCCAGTTCCGACGCGCCCACCTATGTCTATGGCGTCAACTCGGACGCTTATCGCCCGGACGAACGCAACCAAGTCATCTCCTGTGCCAGTTGTACCACCAACTGCGTCACGCCGGTCCTCAAGGTGCTCAACCAGCAGTTTGGTCTGGAACAGGGCTTCCTCACCACAATTCACGCGGCCACGCAGTCCCAGCAGGTCTTGGACGGCTACAGCAAGAAGAACCCTCGCTTGGGCCGCACCGTGTTCGACAACATCATTCCCACCACGACGGGTGCTGCCAAGGCGATTGCCACGGTTCTCCCGGAGCTGCAAGGCAAGGTGACTGGTATTTCCGTTCGGGTTCCCACGTAAGTTGATTGTCCCCATCTTGCTGCCCGCTTGGTGGGCGCTGAGTGGAGGCATGCTGACTTGGAGGCATGGATGCAGACCTGACGTCTCCCTGATTGACCTGACGATCAACACTGCGCAACCAACCTCCTTGGCGGAGATTTTGGCGGTCTTCCGCCGGGCAGCCAAGACGGAGCTGGCGGGGGTGTTGAGTGTCAGCGATGAGCAGTTGGTCAGCAGCGATTACAAGGGCGAGAGCTGCTCTGCGGTCATCGATGCGGCGGCTTGCAATGAGCTGAACCCTCAGTTCTTCAAGATCATTGCCTGGTATGACAACGAATGGGGCTACTCCAACCGTCTGCTGGATCTGGCTGTTTTGATCCACTCGCAAGAGGAAGCCTGAAGCTTGATCGATTAGGAGCTCTGCTCCCCCGTCTGTCACACGAGTTTAAGCCAAGAACCACTTGACTCTTCCGAACTCCCGGTCCGAAACGTCTGTTGTATTCGGAATCTGACATCCGGTCTCGGCCTCGGATTGGCTGCATGTTGAAAACCAGCCCGTCCGATGAAGCAGCACTGCGAACCCCACGTGGGCTCCGCCCGGGACACCGTCCACCGCACGACCCTTGATGACTCTAGACTCCTTTAAATACCAAATTCTAGCCCTAATTGCCCCGATTTCTGATCGACATCGAAACTTGTCTTGACTTTAGAGTCGGTAGATAGATAGACCTATACAGAATGCATCCAATTCGAGTATCCATACGGAGTACATCTTTTTCCTTTTTTTTTTTACCACTATTTGGGGACGGGTCCAGCCAGAGGGATTCCTTATCAGCGCAAACACTTTGCCACACTCATGCGCGATGGATCAGACTAAAGCAGGCGCTCTGCATCCCGCCTCTGGTGCTGAACGCCACTTGAATTTTGTTTTTCCGGGCTGCTTACTATCCGAATAGTCCACTCAAGCAAATGCAATGGGAACACGTATGGAGAAGAATTTTCTTCCACAGAGCTTGCCCGACATCTTGCATATGGGAAGAGCTTGGCTAAATGTACTCTGTAGGGCAATTCTGACCGGGTCAGTGGGGACTCCGTGCTTTTCCGATCGGAGCAAAAATCACGGGCACGTGCACAAATCACAGGGGGTTGGTTTATCTTATCTTTTCCAACCTGTAGGATTTCTTGATATTACCTACCTTCGTAGCATCTGCCCGTATTCTTCGGTCGGCGGGGTAATTTCCAACCGGGAGGTACCTAGGTAGGTCCGTAAGTACTTGGTGTAGTCCGTCGCGTGTCTTGGATGCAAATACTACCACACGATGCAGGACACCTGGAATGATGAGACTTCTAATCGGATGTCATGCAGCAGGCCGTCCAGCAGCAGGATCTATTTCAGCTGGTATAAGTTGATCCTGGTGAAGTAACTACTTACCTAGTAGTACAGTAGTACTAGGGTAATAACAGTCAATTGCAGAGGCCAGTAGTTGCACGTGGGGAGTCAATACGTCCGAGTCCACTGCGGGAGAGCTGTTGATTGGCAGATGAGGATGAGCTTGGTACGGGCCAGTCCCACGGCTACTTGCCAGGTACTGGATACTCCCAACCACAAGGCCTGTCACATGCTAGTCAAGGTATCTGCTACTTGACTGACTTGACTTGACTTGACTAGGGCGGGCTGATTTAACTTCCTTCCTCCGCCGGCATTAAAACCTGTCTCTCCCATTCCACGCAGACAGTCATTCTCTCATCTTCCCCCTCCAAGTTTTCTTCTCCAGTGCGCCACCTTCAGTCGCTTCTCGGGAAAGCAGACAGTCAGCACCAAAATTAGTCGTTGAAAACCCACCCTCATCATGGATGCAAAGGGTGAGAAGCAGACGGACTTGAACGTGTCGCCCGACACCAATCGCTCCGTCGATGAGGATCCCCTGGCTACCAGCCAGAAGACCTTCTGGGAGCGCAGTTGGCCCACCTTTGCCTGCGGTGCTGGTCTCTGGTCCGATGGCTACTTGCAATATGTGAGTTCACGACAGTCCTCAAAAGCCAATTCCTTGCCCCCCCCCCCCACCCCCTCTGCTGCAGCACCACCTAAACGCTTGGCCATCTTATAGGTCATCGGAACGGTCAACACCATGTTGAGCGATCTGTACCCTGACGTCTACGCCGGATCGACCTACAGTCAGAACGTCTCATCGATCTCCTTTGCCGGAACGGTGGTGGGAATGCTGGTCTTCGGGTATATGTCCGACCACTGGTCGCGCACCAACACCCTGATGGTCTCCACCGTCATTCTGTTCGTGTTTGGGGCGCTTTGTGCCGGGGCCTACGGCGCCAATGGTAGCTTGACGGGCATGTTCACAGCCTTGACCGTATACCGCTTTTTCCTTGGGCTGGGAGTCGGGGGCGAGTACCCTGCCGGGTCGGTGGCGGCGGCGGAGAGCAGTGGAGAGATGAAGAAGGGCCAGCGTCACCGGTGGTTCATCCTGTTCACCAACTTTCAGCTCGACTTGGCCTCCGTCGCCTCGTCGCTGGTGCCCATGATCGTCGTGCTGGCCTGTGGGGAGAATCATCTGCGCGCCGCCTGGCGCATCTGTCTCGGTCTGGGAGTCATTCCGCCGCTGAGTCTGATCTACCTCCGAATGAAGCTGAAGGAACCGACCGAGTATACGCGCGAGAAGATGCACAAGTTCCCCATCTGGTTGATCGTTAAGTAAGTACCTGAATTTCCACCAAGTGACCCGCAATACTAACCTCGCTCACTAGATTCTACTGGAAGCGCTGGGTAAGCCCCAGATATTAAGTCGCGCATTTGCCGCAGCCATTACTGACAGTTCGTGTAGTGTGCGGTCGCCTTGATCTGGTTCATGTACGATTTCTCGACCTATTCCTTCAGCATCTACTCCTCCCAGTGGCTGAACCTGATCATTGGCGCCAACTCACCCATGTGGGTGACACTGGGTTGGAACACCTTGATCAACGTCTTCTACCTGCCTGGCTCGTTCCTGGGCGCGTTGCTCAGCGACTGGTACGGCCCCCGCAACACCTTGGCCGGAGGAGTATTCGTGCAAGGCGTTATTGGGCTGATCATGACGGGCTGCTACCCCTATCTGGACACCAACCAATACGTAGCGGCTTTTGTCGTGATCTACGGGTACGCTGCCATCCTACACTTAAACTCCTATTACCAATCTCCTTGGGCTAGCAGACTAACCCGTCCGTGTTAGAATTTTTCTTGCCATGGGGGAAGTCGGCCCCGGCGACAATATCGGTCTCTGCGCGGCCAAGACGTGCGCCACGCCGATCCGCGGACAATACTACGGCACGGCGGCCGCCATGGGCAAAGTGGGCGCTTTCGTAGGCACCTACGTCTTCCCCATCATCGTCAAGAACGCCCCCACCGAGGCGCGCAAGGGTCAGGACCCTTTCTACGTCTCCAGCGCGCTGTGTATCTTCAGTGCCTTTTTGGCGTACTTCTGTCTGCCGAACATCACTCAGGTAGGTGTCTTACTCCGAGATTGTAGCATGGCGTCACACTGGCTAAGCAGATATAGGATACGATCACGCACGAGGATGCGCGGTTCCGGGAGTATTTGGAGGCGGAGGGCTACGATACTTCCACCATGGGTCTTTCAGCGGCGGAATCCGAGTAAAATGTGGTGACGAGTTATCTGGGGGAGGATTTGAATCTGCTAGCGAGAATGCGACCTCTCGTCGCGTGTCTTGGTTAATGTGATCATGGCCGTATAAATATTGTCTAATGAAGTATTCCTCCTTTGGTCTTACTGATTCTCCTATGCTCCGCCGCTGGATTCTTCCCTGCCACTGACACTAATCCAGTGATTAATGGTATTAGGTGCTGTCAACAAATGGGAGGCAAGTCCCTGTCAGCGTCTCTTCGGCCTTGCCGCGATACCTCAGGCACCGGGAAAGCCCTACGCACGTGGGCTGGGTGTACCCATCCGGCCTGGCTTAAGAGAGCTGTTGACTACGTACACCGACACATAATATCTTTCTCAGAATCTATTGCGGGGCCTATATTAATACTAGAGTAACGGTGGATCATGGTCAAGTTGTAACTTCACCCGAACCACGCTGACCGGTCCAGCCCATCCCCAATCATCAGCGCAATGCGGCGCATGCAGCCAGCGGCTGGCAGACTTTAAAAAATCGCGTGTACAGCCAGTACAAAACTCAAATACTCGTCAGAGACTGAAAGGCAAACAGACGCCAAAAAACACCGCCCATGGTCAACAACCCCAGAAAGAATCACCGATAGAGCAAGAGTGGAGTGGTCGCATCGATGTCCCAGAATCCGATGGTAGATCAGCAGGTACTTTACAGTACAGCATAAAGGGAGCTCACGGGCTAGGACTGGCAATATCGATGTGTGCCACTCGGAGTCGTGTGTCGACACACTTCCCAACGTCTAGTTAAGTGGTAAACTCATTGCCTTCATATACCCGGCGGTTGGTTTACTCCATGGGTGGGAGTCTGCCCCGGCGTGAAGCCTGGAGCAGACCGATACACGAGCAACAGATTTCATAATCTCCATAATACAGAGCGCGAAGTATTCCCAGTCGCACCCTTTGTCTCCATGGCTGAGGTAGTTATTCGCTGCCATCTGGTTGGGATAGCGCGCTAGTAACTCCTGCGATAAAACGCTGGATCCTGCACCCAGACGGCCGCTGAAGGATCGAATGGCCCCCAGTCTTGGGAACCATGCAGCAGACACGGCGAGAGCACGTTATCAGCAGACGGGAAGTTCAATTATCCACCGGGAAGCTTTAACACAGTCATAGTTATAATCGATGGCTGATACACACAGTTGGTAAGGCGGTGGATTCATGCACGCATAATTCATGATTAAGCATTTGTTAGTTATGCAGGTCACGCGTTACTGCTTATGCATCCGGAAACGGCGCTTGCGTCGGTGGTCATGTTACCTGCTGCGGCATCTTCTCCCAATCAAGGATCAAGCATCAAAGCCTTCATCATTCCAAGGCCTAAGTATTGACTCCAGCACTTGCTCCCTCCAGACTGTTGTGAATTGCAGCCGAACGCTCAATCCAAGTGCCTGCATTTCAGCGTTCTTGGAGGGCAACCGAAAGACGGAGGCGATGTCATGTGACGGAGTCCTTCCTCAGTGGTCGGGCAGTCCTTTCCTCTTCAGAGCACCAATGAATGAACCTGTCAAAAACCACCTCACTGATGTACTGAGTGAATAAAGTGATGAGCGGACAGTCATTGGTGCCATGCAGAAGTGAAAGTTGACGGCAAATGAGAGCTTCCCCGGATTGAGAGGGAGACTGAAATGCGGGGGAGGGGGAGCTTCGGGAGGTGACATAAGCATCGATTATTGGTTCAAAGCGGGGAGAATGAGATCATGACAGATGCATCGATGATATTCGAGTCTTGTGTACGGAGTAGGTACTGACAGTACTGTCAGTACTGTATACTCCGTAAGCATGGTTAGATGCACACTGGCAGGATGCGGGGTAGAACAGTATTCCGTACTGTGATGAGGAGCAAAAGGTCCCATTCTGTCCGGGGAATAGGAAGCTGAGACGGAGATCATGTACAGAGTATGCTTGCGTCCAGTGGATCCCCACTCCGATCGTCGACGAAAGATCCAACTTTTGAGACGAGTTGCCACTGGCCCTCGAAGGGAGGTTTCATCGCGTCATGCTTATGCGGGCCACCCAAACCCCCTCCTCCTTCTCTTCTTATTCTTACAGTATCCATGGTCCCTTGGGGCTCGAACTTACTCCCGTATAGTCACGCGAGCAGACTATCGGTCTCGTCCTCACCACCACGTGAATTCACATCTCCCATCCGTCCATGTTCCTGAGAACAGTAGCATGGCATTCTTCTCCGCTGATCTCTCTCTAGAAGTGGGAGGGTTGAGGCACTTAAGTACGACGCTATGCACAAGGTGTAACAATGTGACAGGGAGCGAGGGAAGACGGCCAGCATCTAGCCAGGTCGACGCATGCAAACGCCCCCTTGAAGCCCGCGATACGAGTGTCGTGGCCAGTGGCCCTCCCCCCCCCCCCAAGCAACCAGAAGGCAGCAATGTTTTTCCCGGCGTGCAGGCCACCCCCACGGTAGAGGTATACCATGATACTCTACCAACAGCACGGGACAGCACGGGGGAGAACCCCTTATCATCGTAGGGGGCATCTCCGTAGTACAGTAACCCACGATCGGGTAGTTTCCAAGATTCTAGTCCTCTCTCACCCAACGAGGATGGCCAGGGACACGACCTGATGAGGATCTCTGGGAGGAGAGATAAATGGACTCGAGTGGGAGGTTGGGAGGTCGGGAAAAGGGATGGATGGATGCATCCAAAGACCAAACAATCAATGAATGAATGACGCGACCATCTTCATGCAGCCATGCGGTAACCCCGCAATATTCACGTCGACCTAAACTCAATGCAGATGACGAGAAAGCCTCTTTGAGCGTGTCTCTCCCCAGATTCGCCTCGTTGGAAGTCAAAACATGGGCTCTAATCCGAGGATCAGCCCACTGACCAGCCAACCAGGTCGTACCACCGAACCCGTCATATGATCCCTTCACTGGCGACAGTGGAGGGATCGCCTGTTTCGAGAGCATCTGTTTCGCTATTCATCGTGCCTCGTCCATGGTAACAGCGTACGGGGCGGAGTGCTGTACCATGTCTCCTCACTTTCCTCCCTCAGTCTTCCGGGGCCAACACTGGCGGGCCTTCCGTGTGTCTCTGTCTACACCAAACCTCAACCCTATATAACCCTCCTCCATTCCCACCTCACCCCCAAGCTGAATCTTTTTTCCTCACCTCTCCGAAGGCTTCCTCCTTCGTTCACTCATCTACATCAATTCTTCCACGTATCACAAACTCATTCATCACTGACAGTCACCATGGATTCGGCCACCATGGACAAGTACAACTCCCAATGGGTGCAGTTCCACATCCGGGACCACCTCGACAAGGGCGAGATCTCCGTCCGTCACACCGTCATTGAAGGGTTCGTCAGGTCCACCTCTGTCTAACTACTGCATACTCCGTGATACTAACCAGACCCCCAAACAGCGGTGATTTCCACGACCCCGACTCCAACAGAACCATGACCGAAGACGACGTCGACGAACTCCGCATCCCCTCCTACGGAGTCGGCGAGATCTGTGCCCGCGGCCGCCGTGGCAGCGAGGGCCGCCTCGACCTCTTCCACGGCGAGGACAAGATCTGCGAATTGCACTGGGACAACCGCCAGGGCAATTGGGTCAACCTCGTCGAGGTGCTGGATGAAAATAACAAGTACAGGGTCGAGCATGGGGGATGGAGCCCAGAGGCAGGACCTCTGGGCCACGTCTACGTTGACGTCATGGCACACCAATCTGAACAACAGAAGAAGTAGTGCCACTAGCATGGGTGGTGTTTCTGGGTGTTGATCGGATCTCGGGACTTGGTTGATCTTTTTTTTTTTTTTTTTCCTTTTTTTCCTTCCTGTTGTGAATCTCATCTCTACGATTTGGACGTAGTCGGGCGGGACCTGGAGTGGGTGAGCTGATTGATTGAACGATAACTGATAATATCCATATAGTGAGTAGGCGCTCTGCATGTATCACAGAAGAACAATTGCAATATAATTTTCATCGTCATCATCGTCATCAGTAGAATGGGAAGGATGAGTAGACTCACGTCCGGAGTACAGTGTACACGATCGGACCATTTTCGAGGGCCAATCACCTGATCTTGCATGGATCCATTGCTGGGAAATACCTTCACTAAGGTAGTTAGAAGGCGTTGGTTCGGTCAGACCACTTTAGCCCGGCTCAGTCGACTCTCATTAAGCCCAGTCGGGATAAGTGTTTCAGTGCACAAGTGGAGCTGGTCGGAGGTGTCCACGTATCCCAACTTCCCAACCGTCGCCCATCATGCAGCTCGCATCATATTCGCCTGCGTGTCCGGGCTGGCCCAGCAAACAAGCAATATGCCGAGCAAAGGAATTTCAGTCTACAGCTACATCTCCCCCTCAGTCGAGGGTTACGAGGTGGGATTTTCCATCCCTGGAGATGCGGTCGTGCACACCCTGGCCGACAATTTCACCCACCGGCGGTTGGAACTGGACTCGGCGAATATTCCCGGGGAGGAGAAATTCACCGGTCGGTTTGAATGGAAAGTCTTCCGCTACGGGGATGTCGTTGCCAGTGCATACAATGACATCAACACCCTGACGGGCAAAATCACGGGCGGGGAGATGATTTCCACTCAAGACTTCCATCCCATCGTGCTGGAGGATGCCATCATCACGTACGGCTTCTACAATGCAGGACGCGGTGAGGTGGGCCTGACGAAGCGGGATCAGTGCTATGTGACCATTTGTTCGACCGCCAACCGCGCCTGGATGGGGGATCTAGCCCCTGTCGGATCATTGCAGGCGCAGAAGCCATTCTCGCGGTTCGCCCTCGCTGCACCGCATGACAATGGAATGAACAGCATGGACAGCTGCGACGCCGTGTTCCAGCATCTAGACGGGGACATTCTCTCGGCTGTCCGCGAGCTTGTGCCCATGCTCGCCCACATCAAGCATCTCCCGGATCATTTCCTCCTGGGAAAGCTGCCGCATATCGTCTACGGACTGGCCATCACTCAGAAGAAAGAGATTGCCATCATGCTGGACATGGGCGCCAGATACTTCGAGTTCCGACCGGCCAAACTGCTGCCAATCTTCCAGAAGATCTCTTCGCTGCCGGACACGTATTACTTCCAGCATGCGTGTATCCCGGGGCTTGCGTTCGACGCTTTCCTCAGCGCGCAGGTGGCTTTCCTGGATCAGAACCCGACCGAGATTGTGACCATCCATATCCGTTATGACAACATCGTAGCCGACTGCGAAAGACCCACGGAGGAGGAGATCGGGGAGCTGCTCACCGCGGCGTGTGCCACAGCGACCGGTGGCAACCCTCTGACCTGGGGCGGCCGCGAGTGTTTTAGCCAGCCGATCGACGAGCTCCGCAGCAGTGGCAAACGACTCATCTGTGTGATCGAGGCGGACAAGTACGACAGTTGGACGGCGGAGGCGTACGCGACGTTGAGTGCGGACTCGATTCTCGCTCGGTTCGAGAGCATGACGACGGAAGGACAGGAGGGTAGCGATCTGACGGTGCTGCAGTGTCAGGCCACCTCCCAGTCGATCAAAGAGGTGATGATTTACAGTGTTGTGGAGGCCGGAGCGGCCTCGTCGTGTTTGACGTCCACCAAAGCCGCGTTGGACACGCGGACTCTGCCGTGGATTCGCGAGAATGCATTGGAGCGACTAAAGGCGGAAAGGACAATCGTGATCATGAATGACTTCATCGATGGGGCAACGACGGACACTTCCATTTTGCTGTCGAAGCAGCGGTTGGCATTGTAGGCTCGGAATGGTGATAGGAAACCGGTAGACTTAGACTGTTCTGTTAGCAGTAGAATTGGGGAGTTGTTTGTGTTTTGGTTTGCGCGGAGAAGGAATACTGCCGGCCCAGCCACTTAAAGGGCGGTGAACACTGCCAAGTATAGGAATAAATAAAGAGAAGAAACCCAAGACGAAGAGACACACCATCGTCCGCCATTGCAGTGACACAAATAATAACAGCCTGGTCCGAAGCCAACAAGCTCTAGCTCTCACAGATCTGTGAGGACATACCGACTGCCGATTGTGCTCCAGCCTTGCCGACGGGCGTGGGATAGTCAGTCTATGTACGGAGTAGTAGGCTATGTTCTCTCATGGCTGAGACTTGACAGGCTTGACATGGATATTGACCTGGTTGGCAGTGAATCATACTTTCTGTATGTCTCTACACATCCGTGAAGTTGGTCATTTCAAGGCTGCCTAGAGCGATATATGATGATGCCCCTGGATAGATATAAGGGCCACGGAGTACAGTTGCTATCACGCAGACAATCATAGCCCTACGAGCTGCCCCAACAACTTTGTGCTCAATGTCTGGCTCGCCAAAGGGGACTTGCAGCGACTCAGGCAATAGCGAATTCTCAGCCGCTCTCCATTCAATCGAATACCGCGCATCTTTGCTTGCCGACTTGCAGCGCGGCAGTCTATGGGAGCTGCGCCACGCAGTCTACAACATTTACTACCGTATCACAGATCGCTTCAGGCAGTGTACGGAGTCTTTCCAGGACGTCGAAACTATAGTTCGTGAAGTACCTTGTGGAGCGATGAGCCCTTCTTTCTCGCGGACACGACCAGGTACTTTATCCAGCACTTCCAGACCATGACGCCCGACCATCGCCTTAACTTCATCTACTTTGTGGAGAAGGTTGCATACACCGGAGTACTACAGAACCAACTCCTCGAGATCGGCCTGTTGGTTCTCCACGAGACGTTATAAAATTGACCGCCTACTGGGAACTGTCGAGCAGGATGACCTCTCCAAGCCGGTCGAAGCGCTGTCCGACATGACCCTCGCCCGCTCCCTTTCCGGCCGTCCGCGCGTGGAGATTTGAGGATGTTCGCAAATTAACCCCTACTTGTGCGACGTATTGTGGAACGGATGCGATGCATCACTAAATTGAGGCGGTCCACTGATCCTGGCAACTGAGCTGAGTCGTAAGGCCCAGAGTGGCCTCAGTCCCGGGCAATGGCTGTTGAATCAAGAGGGTAGACGAGATCCACCCACAGGCAACGCAGGCTGGAGAGATGAAGCCCGTTGGGGAGGTCTGGGAAACCTTGAAATCTTTGCTCGTTCCGCTGGAAGCACGGGATAGCGTGGTGTCCAGTCAGTATAAGGCTACACCAGACGACTTCCTTCGAGTCAAGTGGGCTGGATTCTGGGCTTCGCCTGATAATTACCCTCTGCCGCCCGAGTCTCTTGTGGGTGGGGGCTATTATTGGCTTGTGTGGCAAGATGCTGGTGAAGCGCGTGGACTTGTTCCTTGTCACTAGTTATGGGTAAGGATAGTGTAGTATGACGACCGTCAAGACATCTTGAGCCTCACTTATCGCAACTATCAGCAGAAGCCTATATTGCTTCTGCTTGGAAGTCAGCATGAACACCAACTCCTCGTATTTGATTCGAACGTCGTTCTCGTTCCTCGCACCAAGATGGGCGGCGGCGAAGGTCTCAGGATCCGCCGGGGTTGCGGTCGCACCCAGGGCAGTAAGAATTAACCAGCCAAATAAAAGGGACAAGATTCACATTATGAAAGCGGGCACAGGAGAGTCAGTTTATGGAAGTAATGAATGGGTATCTGGAAGGGTCTTGGAATGATCTCTTATGTAGTGTTGTGGTGCTGTTATGTACGAGACCTCCCTTTCATACCTCTCAAGGGCGCAAGGGCCTCTCGACAGAACTGCTTTAGATAGAAAACTGTACAGCATTCAGACAGTGCCAGACGCAGCCGACAGACTCAGAATGATAGACGAAAAGTCTTTGTGGCCGTAGCAGCTCGGTCCTCAATACTTTGTTGTCAATGGCTCGATTGCAGGATATTTGCTATTGGCAAACAGGTTCTACGTGACCTTACTTGCCCTATAGCATTGGGGCGAGCCCCGAATGTGCTATGCTGAGCCTGGTGACAGCACTCTCTTGCGAGGGCTTGGAGTTGAGGGGGAGATGCATCATACGACCGTCAGAATAGCAATCCAGGGTGCAGGACAGTCAGCCTTGATAACGCTCTACCCAGCAGCAAACAATGGTGGTCTTCTTCGATGGGAATTGCTTCTTAAATAAAGATTATGCCAGGTTTCTTTTCCTTTTTTTTTCTTTTCCCTTTTGTATAAGAGCATCAGCGTAAACATCTAGCTCGTGATATAGAGCCCGTTACAGCTGGCAGAAACAGTCTGCAACTCTGATTACAGGCCATTTAAAGCGCCAACTGGCTCTCAAACAGTAAGTTTAAGCTTGCAGCTGTGAATATGGGTGATGGTTGGTATGGGTGAAGGTGAGGACCAGCACGGAAGCCTGACATATATAATGGACGAGAAAGGCCGAGGCCATGGTTTCAAGCGCACTAGCGAGCATGTAGAAAAGCCGAGGAGTCCATCTGTTCGAGCAGAACTAGCAGTAGAAAATATCGCAATTTGGCATTGGGCATTAAATGGTATTCGTGTGGACCGCTGAGCATCAAATGTGCTGTTGAGATGCTGATGAGATGCTGAGTACAATGGGAAAATGGGTCAACTTGCTTGAGAGTGATAAGACATAAATGAGAGCATCATATCATAAGCACGTCTTGGTGGCGCAATTGGTTAGCGCGTACGACTGTTAATCGTGAGGTTGAGAGTTCGATCCTCTCCTAGGACGTCGATTCTTTTTTTGGTTCATCCTCCTTCTTGGTTTTTGTCTATCCTATACATTAACACTACAATGGGTCCAGGCACTCTGTTTTGGTTCACAAGTCCTTGTCCATGTATGTACAGCCAGTAGTTATAACAATAGCAGCGTCAGCTTCTAATTGAGAAGAAATAGCTTGTCACATGAGCGGCTTACACTCTGATTGCAGGTCACATGAGCGGAAGCCGGAACTCCGTTTGATTGGCCGCAGTATCGACCTCTCTGTAACCGCGTCCAGGCTGCTGTGAACTAAGCTGACTCATCGTCTCCATTGCTGGACAGGAATCGTTCTTGAGCACCCTAGCTATCTCAATACATCGCGGTCAAACTCATGGCCAGCCGTTTTGTTACAGCCGAGCCACGAGCTCGCCAGGCGTGCGAACCTTGTCGGTAAGCAGTTCTACCAGCCAAGACAATCGGCTGCATCCAGCCCACTCATCCCTGGGATTGATAGGAAGAAGAAGACCAAATGTCCCGGTGAAAGACCTGTCTGTTCCTTCTGTCGACGTTTGAACCAACGATGCACTTATAGTAGGCATAACAATCCGTCCCCTCGCCCCTCCGAGGTAAGCTTCTTCACGCAATGCCAGTCTCAGCCCCACAAGCTGATATCGCATAGTCCAGGCAAGAGACGCGGGAGCGACTGAGCCAATTGGAATCTCGTGTGGAGCGAATTGATGGCTTCTTCCAGTACGCTTCTGCATCGAGTCTTGGTCTTCATTCTACTCACTGTACTGATTCTCTGAGGCAGGACGCTGACTAAACAACTCCCACCACATTCTGCGCCCTCTCCACAGACCCAACCATTCTTACAGAGGGTCCTGCAGGACCCTGCACAAGCCGTGACTCCAGCTCAAGGAATCGCGCCTCTGCAGTCTTTCGACCCAACTAGATGGTATGCTGGGGTGGTTGTCCTTCTGCTTCCACCCTCCATTTGCTAATTGAGCATACTCTTTGCACAGCTTTTATCCACCACCAGAAGTCCTTTCCCTTCTAGTGGACGTACACATCGAGAAGATACATGGCCAACCACTCCCTCTTTTCGACAAAGACAAACTCTGCGTGCAGAGCCGTCACTTCCCTGATTTCCTTCTGCAAGCCTTCTTGGCCCTCACCTTGCTTTTCGCGGAGCCTCAATTCTACAGGAATGCCAAGAAGCAAGCCATTGACCTATATCTTCGATCTGCGCGCCCGACGGTCATCCAACTAGCAGCGGAAGGAACCCCGTCACTTCCTGTGTTGCAAGCACTATGCCTGCTAACCTTGTGCGATCTTGCTGGTGAGGTCTCCCACCCCGCAGTAACTCTCGACCCGTGCTAATGCTCTTAGCCGGCCGACACGCACGAGTGTGGATGAATGTCGGAATTGCCGCAAGACTAGTACTTTGCTTCCCCGCAGCGGGAACGGGATCTGCGACAGAAAAGGATTCATCAATGCGCGATGACCAAAGGCGGTGCTGCTGGAGTGTGTATATCCTTGAAAGGGTGTTTGCCGCCGGGCCGAGCCTCCTGGGGAGCAGCAGTTTAGACCCGCTGAGTCAGATGGGGTACCCCGCCAGCCCTCCGCGGCCCCGCTCGCTCGTTGCCAATGATGACGGCTCTGTACCCAATGCCTTTCCAACCATTCGGGCGGCGGGGGACCTGGGCATACAAGCGTACTGTCTGCAAGTGACGGGCCTGTGGTATGAAGTTCTGGGGTACCTGCGAGAACGCCTGGTCAACGCGACCGACGACGACCCCTGGATCGCTTCATCCCGCTATCACACGCTGGTGGCCCACTACTACGAGTTCGAGACGGGAATCTCCCAGCGGCACCGATATCGGAACCTTGGCTTCCACACCATCACCGCCAGCGAGCTCCTGCAGCACAAGGAATACTGGACCGCGTGGCTATATCTGCAGGTGACTTTTCATGCTGGTCAGGCACTCCTGCATCACCCTCTCTTCCACATTACCCATAATCGACGTGCATCGTCCAAATTGCCACCCCCGTCCTTCCTGCAACAGACGATAGACCAATCCCTGCTGCACGCCGGCTGGCCGACACGCTTGGTCCGCACATGGGGCAAGCACGGGATAGAAGTCAATGATCCCTTTCTGGGCCAGCTCGTGGCCACGGCTGCCAGTATACACTGGATCTTCCAGTTCGCGAGCGAGAGAACCATCGCAGACCGGGCACGGGCGGATTTTGAGCAATGCCGGCGCTTTCTGACCGATCTAATGGCCCGATGGCCGCATGTTGCGGGGATGGTGAGTCTTATCCTATCCAACTGGATGGCAACGCTGACTAGAGCTGATTAGGTGGACAAGCTGGGGTATCTACAAAGCCTGCTGTCAACCCAGGGTACTGGAACGAGCAGCATCCCGCCTTTCAAGTGGTCGGCTATGTGGGACTTGTTGGACCCTCATCCACCACACAACAGCGTTGAGAAATGCCATTCAGGCTTTGTGCCTGGTGGCCAACCGCTCTCCACCCAGTACCTGGTGCCGTTGCGCGAGTCATCGCCGGACCGGTCGGCGTCCTGGCAAGACGACCCCGTGCTGCCTTCGTCGGAATGGAACAACAGTGACCTGTTCAATCTCCTGGATATCCCGTATTTCGGGTCGGGCTTATCGCAACCGGGGCTCGAATGGCCAGGGGAGTTGTAAGGGGAAGTGGGGACGGACCGTCGCCGAAGCCGTCCCCACCACCCGCCACGCTGTCGATGCGGCCGACCTTCGGACCTGAAAATTCTCGTGGATCTGCCATTCTGCCAAACTGCCACCCTCCTGTATATAACACATGCATCTTCCTGGGTGAACACTGCCCGGAAAACACGACTAATTGATTCCCCCCAAAAATAACCCGAAAAAAAAATAAAAGCCATGGCGATCCCTCCCTCCAAATCTTCCTCCATTGTGATCGTCGGCGCGGGCGTCTTCGGCCTGTCCACAGCCCTGGAGCTGACGCGTCGGGGATACACCAACATCACCGTGCTGGACCGACATCTAGCCCCGGTACCCGACGGCTCCAGCGTCGACGTCTCGCGGATCATCCGCGCCGACTACGCGGACGTATTCTACGCACGCATGGCGCTGGACGCGATCCAGAACGGGTGGCACGGGGAGTACGCGCCGTACTTCTATCAGAGCGGGCTGATGTGCACGCAGACGCAAGGCAGCGGGGAGCACGAGTACATCGCGCAGTCGAAGCAGAACATGGAGCAGCTAGGCAGCGGCACGGCAGCCCCAAACCTGGTCTCGTTCCAGGGGACGGAGATCCGGACGAAGTACCCGGGGATCCACGGCGACCTGTCGCAGGCTAGTGGCTACGTGAACCTGGAGTCGGGGTGGGCGAACGCGGAGCTGAGCATCGGGCATCTGGCGCGCAACTGCACGCGCGCGGGCATCTCCTTCCGCGCCGGCCGCCAGGGCACCGTCACCGACCTCCTCACCCAGACCAGCCAGACCAACCAGAAGCGAATCTCGGGGGTGCGCACGGCGAACGGTGAGAACATCCCAGCCGACCTGGTCATCCTAGCCACGGGGGCGTGGACCCCCCACCTCCTAGACATGACCGGCCGCTCCGTCTCCGTTGCGCAGCCGGTAGCGTTCCTGCAACTCACCGCAGACGAAGCGCGCGAGCTAGACAACAACCGCTGCCCGGTGATCCTAGACCTGAGCACGGGGTGGTTCACCTTCCCGCCGACGCCGGGCACACACCTTCTGAAGATCGCGCGTCACGGGTTCGGCTACGAGCGCACCAACGAGGCCAAGCCGCAGAACCCGACGGCCTACTCGGCGCCGACGCTGGAGCGCCAGGGCGGGTACCTCCCTCCGGACGCCGAGAAGGCGCTGCGTGAGGGTCTAGCGCTGTGGCTGCCGCGGTTCAAGGACCGGCCGTTCGTCCAGCGCAGACTGTGCTGGTACAGTGATACGCCCAAGGGGGATTTCGTTGTCGATTATCATCCGGACTATGAGGGGTTGTTCGTGGCGACGGGTGGAAGTGGACAGTAAGTTGACAACACCCTCCGCATACAAAGATACGCCGGCTAACTCCCTCACCTCACAGTGCGTTCAAGTTCCTGCCCGTGCTGGGCCGCTATGTCGCTGACAGCCTGGAGCGAACTGCGTCGGCTGAGCAGCGCCGGAAGTGGGCGTGGCCGGTGGCGCCGCAGCCCATCGCCTCGGGAGATGGCAGTCGTGGTGGACCGCCTCGTCGTCGCTTGACCCCGGAGGAGCGGGCGCGGTTGTAGAAGCGGAAGTGGTTGAATGGGTAGGAGAGGTTTGAGATCAATGAGGAGAACGAAGCGGGGCATTTCACGTCGAAATGAATGATTTAATGGAGCGGAAACGGGGGGAGGAGCTTCATATTGCATGCAAACTATGTAGATGGTAACCAACGGTCGCAATTGTACAGCAGCACCAATTCAGCCAGCGTGAACATTCTAGACAATATCTTTACGATTTCGAGGATCGAAATAACTAATTACTCGCGCAGCATGCGAGCCAGGCGACGTGGTCGCGGATCCGTGAGGTTCGCAGCCATCACGCTCTCCAACAGACCGGACAGACCTTCTTTACGCGCGTGCTCTAGCCAGGTGTCTGGATCCACCGTCCGGAGGGGCACCCGAAAGCGCTGTTCGAGAAAGTCTCGGAATTCAGAGACAGGCACGGGGTGGTCGCTGGAATGATGATGGAAAGTGGGCGTATCGCTCGTCGCGGAAGTCTCGCGGCGGTCGTTCACACTACGCAACGCGGCCTCTGTAATGTCCATCGCCACCTCCGTGACGGATACGAAATCGAAGAAGCCCGTCCAGTGGTCCAGGGCTGGGACTTGATGGATGCGCAAGGACCACTGGATGAGACCTTGCATGAAGTCGGTGCCATGCATGCCTTCGCCCACAATGTTCGTCGGTCGGTGAATGGCGCAGGGCAGCTGGAACTGCGCCGCGCACTTTTCCAGATACACCTCGCTCACCCACTTGGATGCGAGGTAACCATCCGCTCCCTCCGTAGGAGGCTTGCAGTGCGCGACTGACTGTGGGGGTACTGACTCCAAGTCGCTCAATTGCGCTACATCGGCGGTGGAGACGAAATGCAGCGGAAGGCAGCGCCGAAGCGCCATCTGGGCGAGGGCGCGCGTGGACTGCACGTTGGCCGGCTGCAGGGACCGGTAAGATTTCAAGAATGAGACGTCGGCTCCATTGTGGATGATCAGGTCAACGCGCGACGCCAGCTCGTGCCAAGAGGCCCGATCGAGGCCCATTCGAGGCGCCGTGAGATCGCATTTGTAGCGGACCACCTTGGTAGCGCCGGCGGCGGAGGACACTGATAGTGGAGCAGAGCGATATGAACAGTGGATACGGGCCACACGAGGGTCAGTCACGAGGCATTTCAGTATCGCAGAGCCCAGGAACCCGGTCGAGCCGGTCAGACACACTTCAATTGCTCCATCCACATGCAGGGGGCTGAGATTTATGCTTCGCCCGTCGCAGATATACTTCTCTTCTATCACAGGAAGGGTTTCCTGCTCCCAATCAATGGTTGACTCGGGTGGCGTCGTTGGCGCACCGGTGAGCAACGAAGCCATGTCCTCTATGGTGCTGGACCGAAACAGGGCAGGTAAAGGGATTGGCCGTCCCAAGTGTTGCTGGAGGAAGGCTTGCACTTTCACCATCAGCAAGGAGTTGCCCCCCAATTGGAAAAAGTCAGTTGCAGGACCCCAGACAGCCGTCTGGACGGATAGATCCAGACATTGCTCCCAAACCCACATGATGAAACGCTCCGAATCCGAGACTGCCATGGGAGACATGGCATTGGGCCTCTTCGAGGGCAAGGGTAGTCGATCGACTGCCTGACGATCCAGCTTGCCATTGGGGTTTCGAGGCAGCTCATCGACCGGGATGATGACATGGGGCAGCATGTATGTCGGAAGTGGGAGGTTGGCAACGAGCTCGTCTAGGAAATTCAGCATCTCGTTCACTGGGATGTGGGCTTGTGTGCAGGCAGGGACGACAAATGCCACCAGGAAGCGACGATCCCCTTCTGCGTCGTGTAGCCCCCGTACAGAGACCACTGCTTCAATAAGCCGACCATCCGCAGACCTAAGGATGGTGTTGGAGATGTCATCAAGCTCGATTCGATAGCCACGAAGCTTCACTTGGTGGTCACCGTCAATCCGTCCAAGAAACACAAGCTCGCCGGTGGGAAGCAAGCGGCCCTTATCGCCGGTTCGATACATTATGGGACGTCTGCTCGGATCTGGATCGTCCATCAATGAATCCGGCAGGAACCGTTGCTTAGTGAGTGTGTCTTTGTGTAAATATCCCTGGGCCACTCCTGGCCCACTGACAACAATCTCCCCTGTGAAACCTACCGGGAGCGGTGCGCCATCGGTATTAAGGATATACGTAGAATAGTTAGGCAGAGTCCAGCCGACAGTGATAGGCTGTAGCTTCACGCAGGCAGGATCAAATGTATCGATTGCCAGACACGAGCTGGAAATTGAGACCTCTGTGGGCCCATACCGGTTGATGAGCCACAGACCAGGTCGCCGCAGGCTGCGGAACAGTTGAATCAGATGTCGTGGCAAGGCTTCGCCTCCCACGAAGGCAATCCTCCACGAGGACAGTTGTTCCAGGGCAGTTGATCCGTATCGTAGCAACATCATATATTCAGACGGGGTGGCATATGTGTAGGTGACTCCTTCAGCCAAGATCAGCCTAGAGAGCGCGATGGCGTCGCCACGCAGGCGGCGAGGAGCAACAATCAGCGTGCCACCACCAAGAAGCGGCTGAAGCATCTGGTCCAGAGAGACGTCAAAGCCAAGGCAGCTTTGCTGAAGAGCAATCTCACGGCCAATTCCATAACGATGGCGCACCCCCAGGATCTGGTGAAGAAGGTTGTCATGTGTGAGCACTATGCCCTTGGGCGTCCCAGTGGATCCGCTAGTATAAAGGACACAAGCAGCAGATTCGGGCCGAGAGAAGTCCGGAATTGTCTGGGCCTGAGAGGAACAGATCTCCGTGATGGAGACGGGTATACTCGAATGGAGGTTCAGTTGTCTGATCGCGTATTTGGTTGAGTCGTGGTATATGAACGCTGTTGGTCGGCAGTCGTCCACAATTGTCTGGAGTCGAGCGAAGGCATTCTGTGGATCGAGGGGTACGTATATGGCGTTCAGGCGCCATATTGCCAGCATGTGACACACAAAATACACGGTCGGCTCACAATGCACGGCGACGCAGTCGTGGGCCAGGACTCCCTTGGTTTGGAGAGCGGCTGCGGCGCATTGAATGTGCTGTTGCATTTGTTTGTATGTGAGGCCATTGCTGTCCGCATCTTTGACTGCAACCGTATCAGGCTCAAAGAGCGACATTTGCTCGATTCGTTTCGAAATCGTGTCGTGATTTGTGATCTCCAAACGGGGGCCTTGTCCAAGCACCAGCCCGACCATAGAATCGTTGTCGTCGTACAGGAGTTGGCGTGTGATGGGCAGCTTGGGGTTCCAGATACAAGAATTCAAAAGGCGTACGTAGGTTCGTAGGAGGAGATGTAGATTTTCCAGCGAGTACAAATATATCGGAGAGCGGAGAGTGACGGTTGCGGTCCCATTTAGCTGCCGGGCTAAGTATAGAACGAGATCACAAGGAGTCACAGCATCACCTCCGATACGGCGCTCAGGACCTACACCAGTGTGATAATCTTGGTAGATCATTTGCACCTGAAAGCGAGGATGTGCGGGGGTGGAGTGAGATATTGAATGATTAACCGAAAGGTCATCGAACAGACTAGGTTCATGCTTCAGGGTTTCGAGGGTAGTCTGGCAAGCTCGATGAATGACTTGGATGATTGTCTCCTGGGGAGCCATGCGGAAACAATGGGGGAGCACTTGGATGTCCTCTCGACCCCCCTTCTGAGGTTCTGCGACTCCGATGCAGCCATCGCGAATGTCCAACAGCCGTACGAGAAGAGCTTGCAACACAGACAAGTGGCCATGAAACTCGGTAGCCCCAATCTGGCGCACTAGAGACCGGAAGGCAGCCACTGTTTCACTCGATAGGGAGATTTGGGCCTCATGTGTAGGATACTCCGGTAGCCTTTGTCGGGTAGGGACTTGACTGAAAGCAAATAGTGGTAGAGTACAGGGCCATGTCGTTGGAGTAGACTTTATTGAGTCGATATTGCTAGTCATTCCGCATCTGGTATCTCCTTCGCTGGCCTCTTGTGATTGAAGTTGATGGGAAACCCCGAGGTGGCATTCCAGGGGTTCATAAATTCATGCCTAGCGGACGGGCAGCAGCCCGCAAGGACTCTTGTAAACAAAATCTCCTGCCTGGTTCGGCAAGATACCGTGGAGGACAAGATTAGAAAATGATGTTCATGGATCAGAGTTCGGGTGGTGACGACAAGGCGCATGTCGTCGGGCTTCAGTCTCACCAACATCCATGGTTCACTTCTCCGCGATTCCCAGCTGTAGCTCCATGCCTTGAAGTGTTTGCCGTACCCCAGAGATCCAAATCAGGACCGGAGGCGGGTGGATTTGAGTATCTTTCAAATTGGGGTATGGTGTCTCTTGCCTCTCCTGAGCCTTGGCGACTTGATGGGTTCGGATAAACTCGAGGCTGGCATTGCAACCTTCAAGCTTTTTCACAACAACCTGTTGGGATCTCGTCTTGACAGGAAGTCGATTCTCATGCCAGGTCAATCATCAGGAAGGCACGACCCACTCTGAAGGAACTGTCATGGAACAACCTTGAGACCAGAGATTTTCCCGAGATTCCATTTCATTATTGACGCATTCGAGATCGAACAGTCGAGACCGAATAGGTGGGAGGGGCTTTACAGAACCAGTCTACCGGTCCCGCGGAGATTACTAGAAATGTTGATTGAACGCAGCTGACTGGCCTCTGTTTGGAAGTAGCCCGTTGCAGGATCAGCTGCAAAGAAAAGGGGAATCAACCCCATTAACCGAAGAAGGGATTTTGTGAAGAATGCGGAGGACAAAATCAGGGTTGCTCCTCGGAACCGTTTTCTTCTTTACTATCGTTGAAGATAGTACGAATAAGAATAAGCGATCATGCCAGGAACAGGTGTCAGTATCGACAATGAATTCCCGGAAGGTGGCCAGCTATCCCTTGCATGAGACTGCCACATTGTAGATGAGTATGTTTATCACTTGCGGTGCGGGGCGAGGTATTCCTGGTTCTGGGGTGACTGGTATCTGGGTATTCATCAGTGGAGAAATCCCGCCCATTGTAGAAGAAGATGCTCATGCAGGGGTTCTCCGATGACATTCTAATTCATCTTGGGGACCTCGATGTGGAGATGCGAAGGGCCGAGAGCCAGTCGACGAAATATGATTGATAGACTGAAAGGCGCGGGAGAGAGCCACAAGTCATTGACAAACCGTTTCACCTGGATTGAGCCAGCAAGCTTCTAAATGATGACATCAACTTCTCACATCGCCAGAGATCCTGCTTTCTCCGATTATCGATGTTGACTGGTTCGTCGCGAACATCGGCTCCGTTATGCCTCTTGGGATGAGGAATATGATGTATGTGCATGCATGGACCCAATGCGGTGCTATGAGTACCGATCTTCGGCAGGAGCCCTTCTCATCCAGGGCCTGTAAGGAGTTAGAGAGATAGATTATGCTCATGATAGATCACAGAATGACAGCCCTGCACGGCTGAAGCGACCGCATCGGAGTGATCGATCCCTCCTGACCAACAACGGTGGCGGCACTCATCGTCGCAATGCAGAGCAATGGCTGCCATATGCTTTGCAGCGATTGCCTCAGAATGATATTAAGTTCCAGGGGGGAGATTTCGACTGAGGCTACTCGAGCAGGATTATGAGTCTCTCATACTACGTTTAATATCCTGCAATTCCCCAGCCCATCCCGGCAGACCATTTTGCGCGCTGTTGTATGACTTTCAATCCACCTGCAGAGTCTCAATCCACATGATGAAGAGTACACTGACGCAGGGAGACAAGGGATACAAGCTTGATGACCTGCGGCATGTGGTGATCACAGCTAGTTGTTTTGCGTTGGTCATCTCGACATTAGCTGTGGCATTGCGCCTTTGGTGTCGGTATCTCACTCGCACCAGGGTTTTTTTGGATGACTATCTCATCATTGTTGCTCTGGTGAGTATTAAACCGCGGTCGGAGCCTCTTCGTCCTCCATGCTAACCGGCCATGACTGACAGGTCTTCGAATATGGCATCACGGTCGCGGGAGTCGTTCGTATGTCCCCAAGCTGAGGTTGCCATGTGGGTGTGTTGCTGATGGGAAGTTAGTTCTGTACAACGGTCTGGGAACTCACATCATCTACGTATCTCCTGAGCAGCTCGTGGTCTACATGAAGGTCGTTCCCCTTTCCTAGTATCCATTTGGATTGTGTCCTGACCTCAAATCTCATAGACCCTGTCGACCGGCACATTCTTGTATACGCTGTGTATCACCTTCGTCAAGCTTTCCATTCTGGCACTGTACCAACGGATCTTCTCTCGGGGTCCGATGATTATGGCTGCCAACGTGGTTGGTTGTATAGTGATTCTCTGGTGCTTTGGGTGCTGCCTCATCGGCGCAGTCACCTGTCTACCATTCCGGAAGCTCTGGGAGCCCACTCTACCAGGAGGATGCATCAACCTGGCTCAGTTCTACTATGGTCTCCAGATCCCAAATATCCTGACTGACGCCATCATCCTCGTGTTGCCGATGAAAGCAGTGTGGGAGTTGCAGATATCCCGATCGCAGAAGGTCATGCTGTCTGGTATTTTTCTCATTGGTACCACGTAAGTGTCCCGATTCTTTCGGGTGCAGAAGATGAGTCCTGACCCTTAACTCTTGCAGGACTCTGGCCTTCGATATCGTGCGGTTGGTGGTGATGATTCAGCTCTCGAAATCGGGAGGCGATATCACCTGTAAGTTGATGTCCTGGGCACAGGATGGTAGGAGAATTGTCCCTGACTAGTTCACAGATGACCAAGTCCCCGCAAGTGTTTGGACGTGTATCGAGCCGATGATGGGGATCACTGCTGCTTGTCTGTCCAACATGCGGCCCATCTTCACCATGCTACCTCGCCCCGAGTGGAGCAAGAATCTTTCGTGGCGAAAAGATGCAGAGTCTCTGCCCCCCTCCGCTAAGCCGAAGACCACAACAATGAATAAGCAGGATATTTATTCCACCACGGTGTTGCGGGTTGATAGTTCCCGCTTGACCAACACGAGCACTGCCAGCGAGCGGGAGGAGGTTTGAGATTGTCTATTCCGGGTGTATATCAATTATACTTTCTTCAGTATGGCTGGATGATCGGACTATCCACTTTGTAATAGAGAATGCTTGAGACCCGCACAAATTGCTCTCTCGTTAGTGATATCAGATGTAGGCAATGTAGGATGAAGGTGAGAGGGAGCCAAGAGGAAAGCGGATAGCCGCGGCCAAAGCAGGACAGCACGTGAGGCAGGCCGGGGCCGATAAAGGACGACGATAAGCGGGGAATCTTCACCGCCTGCTGGATGGGATTAAGAAATGAATCCATTCAGCAAACCACCAAAGATTCAATCACATCACTTATCGCATTCCTCATGATGGTTAGTTAGTGAGCCTGTGTCACACTGATGACAATGTTCTACCTTTGTGTCTTACCCTGCTGATTACGTTTATGTTCTTACTGAATGAACCGTTGGTGGTCCATCAGCACGCCTTAGTTACCGCCTCCCCACGCCTTACGCAGCAGCATCCCCCCCCACCTCGTTATCGGCGATAAGATCGCTTCGCTTCGGTGCAGCCTCGGCCATTGTTTCTCCAACTTCCCCTCAACTTCCCCAATTTAAGGTCCATCTCTCCTGTGCTGTGCTCTCTGCTCCCTTGATTTTCCTCCTCTCTCGACCTTCAGCTTAATCCTCATCATCAGCTTCACATCATGGCTACACCCGATAGCAGCACCATCACCCTCGCGGACTACCTCTTCACCCGACTGCAGCAGCTCGGAGTCAAGTCCCTCTTCGGCGTTCCTGGCGACTACAATCTGAAATTGCTGGACTATGTCGATCCCTCGGGCCTACATTGGGTGGGAACCTGCAATGAGCTCAACGCCGCCTACGCTGCAGATGGGTACGCGCGTATGGCCGGTATGTCCGCCATCATCACCACCTTCGGAGTGGGCGAGTTGTCCGCCGTCAACGGAATCGCCGGTGCCTACGCAGAGCGGGCGCCGGTGGTACACATCGTGGGGACGCCACCCCGGCCTGCACAGGAATCGCGCTCTCTGGTACATCATACCTTTGCTGACGGCGAGTACCGGCGCTTCGCAGCCATGCACGCCCATGTCACGGTGGCGCAGACCAACCTCAACGACCCCCGCACCGTGCCCGAGCAAATCGACACCGTGCTGCAGCAAGCGCTGATTCACAGCCGTCCGGTCTACATCGAGGTCCCGGACGACATGCCTGGAGTCCTGGTGTCGGCTGCCAATCTCACCTCCCCGATCCGGCGCCCGCCGGCCCCAACCACTAAGCACGAGAGTACCGTCCTCAGTCGGATTGCCGACCGCATCTACCACGCCAAACAACCTCTCATCCTCGTCGACGGCGAAAGCCGTGCGATGGGCATCCTCGACGAAATCAACACCCTCTTGCGCAAAACCGCTTGGCCGACCTTCACCACCGTCTCCGGCAAAGGTCTGGTGGACGAACATCAACCCTATGTCTACGGCAACTACGCTGGTCCACTCGGCAACCCCGACCACAAAACCTATTTCGACCAGGCGGACCTTATCCTAGAGTTCGGATCGCACCCGACCGACACCAACACCTTGGGCTTCCAGACCCTCCCGAACCCCGCCACCTCCATCACCTTCACCGACAAGGCGGTGCGTATCGGCGACGAGACGTACCGCGACTTCTCGCCCGCTATCGTCACGCGCCTAGTCCAGACCCTCGACTTCGATCGCATTTCGCAGCCAGCCAACCCACCCCCGAAGACCGTCGTGCCCAACGAGTCCCTCCCGCCCACCGGCCGGATCACCCAGAAGCACTTCTACCGCCGCGTGAACTCCCTCTTCCAGCCCGGGGATGTGGTCCTCACGGAGACTGGCACAGCCAGCTACGGCGGCCGCGACTTCACCCTGCCGACGGGAACGCGACTGTTCGGCGCCATCACCTGGCTCTCCATTGGCTACATGCTCCCGGCCACGTTGGGCGCTGCGCTGGCGCAACGCGAGCGGAACCCGGACAAACCCACGCGGGCGGTGCTCTTCATCGGCGACGGGAGTCTGCAGATGACGGTGCAGGAGCTCAGCACGATCCTCGTGCAGAAGCTGGATGTGGTGATCTTCCTGATCAACAACGATGGGTACACGATCGAGCGGGCGATCCACGGCCGGAAGCAGGCGTACAACGATGTGGCGCGCTGGCGGCACTCGCTGGCGGCCGACTTCTTCGGCGCGGCGGAAGGCCACGGGGCGAAGAACAGCTTCCAGGCCAACACCTGGGCGGAGTTGGACGAGGTGCTGCAACGGGAGGAGATCCAGAATGGGAAGGGATTGCGCTGGGTGGAGGTGTTTATGGAGAAGGAGGATGTGGAGGGACTGTTGAAGGTGATCATGGAGAAGCAGATTGCGGCGGAGACGGCTTAACCTACAGTACATACAGTATTTTTGTTTGCCCCGTTGCAAGACCTTTCCGACTGTCTCCGGTTTACATCATGCATTTTGAATCCTCTTTCTAGAAGAAATTAAGATAGTATTGCACCATAATATAATGCTACCGCAGGCAAAATTGTAGTCTTCGTTCTGTTCGAATTGGGCTTTGTACTGTAACTTATTTCTCCCCCTTGGCTTGCAGTCTCCCTTCTTTCATGTGGATAATGAGACCTTCGACTGGTTGAGTTCTTCTGTGTCATCTAGCACTTGCACACCCTGGAACTTGTTAGTTTCGTCCCTCACAGGAAATCGATGGTGGACTTACCCTCCGCTGCACTTGCCCTTCTTCAGAAGACTGCATCGGGGGCACTGGGAGGCGGTCTTGCACTTGGTCGTGGTGGTGGTCTCCTCGGCTGCGGTGGTGGTGGTCTTGGTGGCTTCGGTGGTTGTAGTCTTGCTTGAGGTGGTGGAAGTCGAGGTCGTCGAAGTCGAAGTGGTCGAAGTGGTCGAAGTGGTCGAAGTGGTCGAAGTAGTGGAAGTAGTGGAAGTAGTGGAGGTTGTTGATGTAGTAGATGTAGTAGATGTAGTAGATGTAGTAGATGTAGTGGAAGGAGTGGAAGTGGTGGAAGTAGTGGAAGTAGTGGAAGGAGTAGACGTAGTGGACGGGGTCGTCGAAGTGTGCGTCTCGGTGGTCTGGGTGGTGGTAACCGCTACGCTCGGAGCAGTCTCGGTGGTGGCACTTGAGGATGGGACTGTGTGGGTAGTAGTCACCGCCTTCGAGGTCTCGGACTTGACGCTGGTCGAGGCGTGCACATTCGTCGAGGTCTCCGTTGCGGTGGTCTCAGGAGTGTGAGTAGCCACCTTGGAAGTCACGAGGTTGCTGGTGTGCGAGGCTAAGAACCATACATCAGTATTCAATCAGCATACTAGAAGCAAGCCAAGATCGTCAGAGACAAACCACCTACCCGTCACAAGAGTCGAGGAGCCAGCATGAGTGGAAACCGCCGCACTGGATGAGGCTGACATCGAGGGAGTGGGCGTGCAGGCAGCGACGCTGCTCTCCGCTCCACGCTTAGCAAAAGCGATGGCGCTCGGGGCGGAGAAGTCCAGCAGCTGCTTCGCATCCCAAGTCCAGGAAGCAGTCGGGTACTTGGCGTTGAAGGCGTCCAAACCCTGCCCGAGGGCGTTCTTCTGTCCCGAGGCATCGGTGGTGGGAGTCACCTGGGCGGAGATCGAGGCCAGTCGCGAGGAGACGGCAGTGGCCTGCGCCGAGAGGAATTCCTCCATCCAGCTGGAGTATGAGTCGGCCCAGCCGTTTCCGGGGATGGGGTCGTTGCAGCCAGTAGCGAGCTGGTCGATGCCCAGGAAGGCCTCGTAGATGCGCTTGTTGGTCGTCTTGAAGACCTGCGCAATCTTGTTATCGCGGAGCATCGAGATCACCGTGGCCATGGTGTTGATGATGGACAGGGCGTTGCTGGCCTCCTGGGCAGGTGTCGAGCCCTTGGGGCTCTGCATTCCGCTGAGATTCTCGTCGAACATCTACCGTGGTCAGTATTGGCGTCAGTTCTCAGTGCGAGGGATCAACCTACAGGCGCCTTCACACTGTTCAGTTGATTGTCCATGGCAACAAAGTCCAGGTAGGTGTTGCTGGGCAGCATGGCATAGAGGCGCTGAAGTCGAGTCTTGATCCCATTCGCCATCGGGTGTTCCTTATCCTGAGTGAGGAAGAAGGTTTTGAAGCTGTCGCAGAAGTTGTACTTCTTGATCATGGCCGAAAAGAAGCTGTCGACAATCTTCAGCTCATCTGCGAGGTGGGGTCAGCTGTTGCACATTCCGATGGGCTCTTTCGCACAGGACTTACAAACATGGTCCACATTGATGTAGGAATCCGTTTTCGAGGGTTTGGAGCCCAGAGCAATGTACTTCTGCCCGGTGCCCGCAGTGGCCGAGTCCCAGTAAGCGGCCACCGTATCCGTCAGGTCAGTATCATCGGGGAGGACGTCGTAGGTCACGGCCCCCGCCGGGCACTGATCCAGCTTGGGGATGTAGTACCCCAAAAAGGCGTCTCCTTGCTCCTTCGCCAGGGCGGCAGGGCCAGGGTACGGCGGTTTATAGATCTTGGTCCCCAGAGTGCACTTGCCGTCGTTATAACTGTTGGTGATGCGACTGCGACGGGCAAGCTGGTGCAGCTCGTGCTCAGCGCGCTTGCTCGTGGTGGTGGTGGTAGTGGAGTCATCGTCGTCGTCATCATCATCATCATCATCATCATCATCATCATCATCATCTTCGGTGGTTGTGTTGTCAACGTTCAGGAAGTAAGTCCATCCACAGGTTGCTTGAGCCGACGAGGCAGAAGCCACGGCAGACGAGGACGCAGCAGCGCGGGCTCGGACGGGAATGGCAGAGGCTGATGCCCAGGAACTTAGAAGGAGAAGACTGAGAGCGATTGCTTTGGATGGCCCCATCTTGAATCGAATTGTTTCCCGGATAATCAAAGGAGTGTCAATTGCAGAGATATTGAATGAACGTTGATCGGAAGAGTACTAAATGAATGTGGGTTGCAATTATGCAAAACGAGTGTTGACGGTGCGTTGATAGATTATCCTAAACTGCCGTCCATGGGGATTTATATATACCCTAGAATCACCACTGCATCATCCATGCAGCAGAAGTGATTTCCCTCCTGTCTTGTGGTGCTCTTACTGCTATGCCAGCCGCGCGGTTTCATCCTTGGGGCCAAGTCCAGAGTCGATGGCATGGCCACGCCACAGTTGGTACCTGGCCCCCAATCTCCACTACATGTTTGTGAATCCCAGGAAGGTCATTCGAACATATTCAAGTTACCAGAACTTGTATCCTCTTCGTCACGTAAAACGTTTTGTGATGCCCGCATAGGGGCTGCATAACGTGCGCGGATCAGAGAGACAAGTGTAGATACCAGTTGGACTAGCAATTTGGCGGAGGCGAGGCCAGTGCTGTAGTAGAGTGCTGATTAGTACCTCATGCACATAGATAAACTATAAAGAATAAAAAAGCTCCACGTACAATATCATTGGGCCAGTGGGTTAGAATTGTAGATGGTTGCTCCGGTCGTGATGGTCCAAAGCGGAAACCCTAGATTGACCGTTGATCATCGCGTCTGTTTCTGAGCCTCAGGGGGTGGGGGCCATAATCCCTGATCAGCGGCACACCGTTGTCACTCGGTTTCCACCTGAGAGTTTTGGACTCGAATGTATCTGCGATTAAGGAATAAGGCCCTAAGCCAAGAAGTCTGAGGCTCGTGTTAAAGTCCTGCAGCCCCTGGCCCGCCCTGCACCTCGTACTGTACCTGCAGCGGGATACTTTGAGTGAATTGGAGGATGGGGGACAAAAGTAAGGCAAGGTCGAAGTCGAACCTCTTCAATCCATGCATAGACTGTGAGCTCCTGATTGGCGTGCGACTTTCCTCTTGAAATGAAACCAGACGGTCCCTACGACGGATAGCAGCCACCATCCTGCAAAAAGGGCCTTTGCTTAGTACCTTCACCACATGACTGACCAGCGACTGGCTAGGGTAGAATTACCTTCTGAATTCGCTAAGCTCTTCTCTCGAGTAGGAAGCAGCATCAAGGCACTTTCCGAGTATTGGATGAATCAGTGAAGCAATACAGTCAAGTTGGAAAAGTTACTTGACTGCGGATATTGATGTGATGCGGTGAAGGCACTTGTAATGCGTATTGCGAGAATTCATGCATAATGGCGGCTGCTATAGCGCCGATTACTACTTGGTATTGAGGGAAAATGTTTCCGGGTCCAGTCGATAAGCCTTGACTACCAGGGACACCATGTATGGCATTGGCATATATTTCACCGCAGCACGCGCGGTCGTCCACACAAGACTCGCCTCTACTACTACTTCCCTACACTGCGCATCTTCCCGCTGGGAACGAGTCCAGCCAGCGCGCAATTTGCCGTGCCCGTGCAGCGGCTTGTTCCAGCGAGACATACCCATCGGAATTGCCTTCAGCCAAGCTCAGCAGGCAGCTCTGGACCGACCGTGCACTAACGGGCAGCTCTTCCTGCTCTGGTGACCATGCCCACGGGACTGGTGTTGTCTCCCCCGTGTCGAAGCGATGCAGAGAGATCGTCACTGGCTCTGCATAGGTGTTTGCGCCCAGCACAATGCCGGCAGGGGCAGTCAGACGAATTGCGCCTTGTTCGCAAGTCAAGGTCCATTCCAGCTGCGGGTCCCCCGGATAGGGTTGGCCCCGACTGAAGTAGGCGACTAGACTAGCCTGGGGAGCCACGTGGGCTGATGCTGGCAAGTGTCCTATAAATGGTCATCGATTAAGCCCCCGTGTGGTTCCAGCTCCCGAAGACGAACGCCACTTACCATGGAGGCTGACAAGATCAGGCACATCCGATCGGATGGTCTCCACGACAGACCCTGTAGTGGGATCGCGCACCCGAATGTCCGGGCGCTGAAGCTGGAATTGAATATGGTCGGTCTCAGGGATCACATCCCCCACAACAGATTGCACGAAGTCAATGACTGTGTCTACTACTTAGTATCTAGGGCTGTGTCTAAAAGTTTTTTTCAAGAGAATATGCCTACTTACCATGGGCGAAACCGATGGTGATGGGATTCCCGCCAACGGAGCGCTGGGCAAAATATGCCAATCCGGGGGGAAGAAATTCGCGATCGAGGGTGCCTCCAAAGGCTCGAACCTCAGTATTCAACAATCGGCCCAGCGAGGCTGACTCGAGAAGGTCTCGGATCCGACGGACGGGCGGTGCAAATCGACTCTGGAGCCCCACCGCGACTGGTGAGCCACTCCTGCGCGCGGCGGTGAGAAGCTCCTCGATGTGGGTCGCATTGCCGGCAATGGGCCACTCAATGTAGGTAGCTTTGCCTGCCTGAATCATGGGCAAAGCGGTCTCATAGTGCCGATCGACTCGGGTGCTGCAAATCACAAGATCGATCGTGCGATCCGCCGCCAGATCGATGGGGCTGCCATAAGGAGTGACGCTAGAGGCATCCAACTGGTATTCCTCGATGGCAGCTTCTGCAGCCGATAGACTACTGTTACAGAGCGCGGCGATCTGGAACTGCGCAGACCGGCGAAGACCCGGCAAATGGGCATTGGCAGCCCAGGAAGTAGTGGCCGTGGCCGAGAGCCCGATGATCGCAGTACGAGTAGGCATGGAGCTGAATATCATGCATGCCCTGGGGATACCCTGGGGTAGGTGGTTTGCCACATCAACTCACCATGTCCCGGTAGATATAGTATGGAATGCGGGGTGAGAGCAATCCCGCATGGTGATTAGAAATCAGATTGAAGTCGGTTGCGTTGACCAAGGCTGGCTTATCAATCCATGTGATGACCGAACTTTTGAAGTCGAAAAAAATAAAAAGCAGAGAACATGATCAGGTCCAAGAAACTCAATCACTGTCCGCTGTCGAGACAGAGTGCCCCAGTTGGGGGGAGGGGGGAAGGAGGGTTGGGGTTCGATCCGAGCCGGGGCACCAGTAGAGGCCAAGATTCTTCGGACTGAGTCGTGCATGAGGTGCTAAGGACTGTGTACTGAACCCAGTGCCAATACCGTGAAATTATGTGGCACGACGACTTCCGAATCTGAGAATGATTGAGTGATTCCATTCGGTGTTTGATGTACGATGAGGTAAGTAATGATATCAGACGTTCAGACGTTGGGTGCCGTCGTTGAGGATATTTGAGGGATCACCAAGCCAGAATGTAGGCAGTGCGTAGGTATATTATTATTATTATGAATTTTACTACGAGTACATGTGGTATGCCTGGTAATTCAGGCCAGAACAGCCCAGGAAAACTGATGCCGTGATGATCTCATTGTGGCTTGAGGGGGCGCCCGGGCTGCTCAAGTGGATGCCTAAGGCTGACATTTCTGGCCTGAGTCAGAGATGATAAAATGGATAGTGATTGGCGGATTGGGCCACCCGGCAAACGAGGTCAACCACAAAGCGACCACCAAACGGTCACTGCCATCACTGCAGTGGGCTGGGCTGGACGCCCGACTAACCTCTTCAGGCCATGAGTCCGTCGCCTCATGTGATTGCATGGAAGTCGATCCCGGTCTAGATTTTCTCGGCCGGGCCGGCTAGCAACCAGAACTCCCACTTGATCGGGCGGTCTCACTCTGCGAGGGGAAATCAGGGCGGTGACTCATGATTCTGCCGGACAGTGCCCAGTGTGTGTGTGGGTGTGGGTGTGTGTCAGTCAGTCAGTCAAACCAGTTTCTGGGATTGCAGACTTTCAACTCTTACTACTGTCTACTTACCTACTCCGTACTCTGTACTCCTTCTCCAGAACGCAACTGAAACTTCTGGTGGCCTCAGGCGCTTTCGCTTACCTCCACTTCCTCCTCCTCTTCCGTCTCTCCTCTGCAACTCCACCCGCTTTTCCCTGACCTTTCGCTTCTTTCTAGCATTTTTCCCTGGTTGGTCTGTGTATTTTGCTGGTGATCTAGACAGACTCCATCCATTTATCCATCCATTGTTGGCGCCGCCTTCCGCTTCTCTCGCCTGGATCACCGACCCCTTCCTTAGTCCTTCTGTCACTCTCTTCTATATCGTCTTTGTGACTCTGCTTCTCGACCCTCCTGTTTGCTTCAGCCCTCCTCCACCCTTGATTCATCTCTCCCCCGCATTGAATTTTTTTTCTGCAGTCTTGAGACTGGATCGGATCCCTCGTCACATTCTCGCCTCCTCCGCCCCTCGTTTCTCTCCCCCCTCTTGGAGGAAGGCGATGTGAAACGGGCTGTGTGCGCGATGGCAGCGTCCTTGCACCACCCGGAGGCGGAGCGAGAGCGCATTCGTGATCTATCTAGGTATAGTAGTATACTTCCCGTACAGCTTCAAACAATATGGGCTTGTGCTCATCTAGTCTATCCTCAATCCCACAGATACTATTGTACTGTTGATCGTCCTCCTCTCCGCTTGGCAGCCGCCGACTCCCAAGACACTTCCAACCTCGACATTCCTGACGATGGTGTTCTCCCAGAGGCTCGACTTTCCTCTGATATCACCCTGACCGCGCTGGCCCAGTTGGGCGTATATCGCTTTGGCTGTAACCGCTCCTTTGTCTCCATCATTGACGGCGTGAACCAGTACATTATCGCTGAAGCTACCAAATCTATCTCCTTGCGGAACAATGACCAACACGACCCGGACGATGGGATCTATCTAGGAGTGCGTACCCTCGACCTGATCTGGGGCGTCTGTCCCCATTCCATCGCTCTTTTCACCGGTCAAGATGCTTCGAAAATAGTCGACTCGCCCAATCTTACCGCCAATCTCTCCCGCTTCGTCGTTCGAGATTTCACCAAGGAAGACTTCTACAAGGATCGTCCCTACGTCGTCGGATGGCCGTACTTTCGCTTCTACGCTGAGGTCCCCATTTACAGCCCCGCAGGCTACGTGCTCGGCACCTTCTGCGTCATTGATGACCATCCTCGCGACCATTTTGGAGATGCCGATATCGCCACCCTGCGCGAAATCGCCGATGCCATTTCAGGTCATTTGGAACATGTCCGGATCGCCCACTATCACCGTCGTGCCGAAAGCCTGGTCAAAGGGTTGACCAGCTTTGTGAAGGGACACTCCGAATTTGATCCAACGGAAGTGCCGCCGGTAACGGTGCCAAGTGACTCCTCATCTTCCTCCACGGAGTCAGAAGCGCCTCAATGGCTTGAGAGCGAATCCCCGCCCGATGCCCCCGAGCCACCCACAGGGCATCCCTCCAGTGCTTCGGAATTGACGGGGGAGCTTACATCACTATTCTCCGCGGTCACGTGTTCAGAACGAAGCAGCGCGTCAACCTCGGTCAATCCAGCCCCTCGATCCACGAACCATAGTGCCGACGATGAGCTGTGCGATCCCCGGGATACGGTCGTGGGAGCATCCGAACGCTCGGACTTCCCAGCGGTCTCGGTACGGAACCCACCGAGTTTGTCGGACAACCTGGCGCGCATCTTCGCGCGGGCCAGCGCCACTTTGCGTGACTCGATGGACCTGGATGGCGTAGTCTTCTTTGATGCCTCTCGCAGCAACTCCGGAGTGTGAGTGTTGTTCTTTCTCGAAACCGACTGGAATATGCTAGACTAATTAAGTGGTAGTGTCCGACCGGGTCATGTAGGTTCTTGGGAGCCGCTCCCAACCTCCGCCAATCCTGAATTCCTTGCCGATCCGTATCCGAGCCCGGCTGACTTAGCCGGGGTTGGCTCACTCTCCAAGGCTGCCGAAAGACCCTGTGATATCCTAGGAGAGGCGCGCCATCCTTCAGTAGCCGCTTGCAGTGAATCGAACCCGGTGACCGAAGACTTGTTGAACCGTCTTGTAGCAGTCTACCCTCATGGCCAGTTCATCAATCTCCACGAGGAACTGGCCACTGCGAGATCGTCGACACCTTCCATGCGAGAGACGCCCTCGGACGATTCATCGAGTCCGTCCTCGGAGGCACCACAGACAAATGCCACGCGTCTGTGCCTTGAATTGAAGCAGTGTTTCCCTGAGGCCTACAGCGTGCTTTTCTATCCATTATGGGATTGGAACCGCTCACGCTGGCTGGCCGGAACCCTTGTCTGGACCCGCGGTAGCGATCGCGCCCTCGACATGGAAGAACTACATTACTTCAAGGTTTTTGGTGATTCGATCATTTCTGAAGTCGCGCGAGTGGACTGGGCCACCATTCAGCGCTCCAAGTCCGCCTTCATCTCCTCAGTCAGTCATGAATTACGCTCGCCCTTGCATGGCATTTTGGCCTGTGCGGAATTGTTGCAGACGAGTCCATTAGACCCTTCCCAAGCGCACTGGATGAGCATGGTGCAAAGCTGCGGGTTGACTCTGCTTGATACATTGAATCATCTGTAAGTCCTTCATATGACGTCGTCATGTCGATGTCGGTCTTTACTGACTGATTGCAGGCTCGACTTTGCTAAGATCAATAACTTGACCACCGGAGAGGAGGTCAATAAATCGTCCAACAATTCATCATCGGTCAACCTCATGACCATTTTCGATCTGGATGCCTTGATCGAAGAGGTGACCGACGTGCAATATACCGGCCAGCGACTGGGTCGGACGATCAGTCCGCTCACAAGACGTCTGATGCACACCCCTTCCAATGCGACGCTCCAGGACGGCGAATTGACGGTGGTGGTGCGTGTGCAGGACCGTCAGGCGTGGACTGTGCAGTCCGTGGCCGGGGCTTGGCGGCGTATCGTCATGAATCTCCTGGGAAACTCCTTGAAGTGGACCAAAACAGGGTTCATCGAGGTCTCACTTTCCAAAGCCCGGCGCAAATCCGATCCGCAATCGATCTTCGCTCACCTGACCGTTACCGACACTGGGCGTGGGATTGCCCCCGACTTCTTGAAGCATAAGCTCTTCTCCCCATTTGCACAGGAGGATTCTCTCTCGGAAGGGCTCGGATTGGGCTTCAGCATTGTCCGGCAATTGGTTTCATCCCTCGACGGGCACATCAACGTGCGCAGTGAGCTAGGTATTGGCACGCAGGTCGATATCTACATTCCTGTGCGTCTGTTGGGTTCAAGCCTCGGAAATGCAGCGCCCGGCCCTGGGGTAGTCTCACCTCCCGCTATACCGACCGCTCCGCTGAGGTTCTCCCTAGTGGGCTTCGACAGCTACCCGCACCCTCGGGAAGTTCCAACTGGAATCTTGCCAGCGGAAGCCAAGCGCAAGCTGGCCATCCGCAGCTCATTGACCTCAGCCCTTCTAAAACAGCCTGGTTGGAGTCTGACCCAGGCTGAGTCGCTAGCCGATGCAAAGGGTGAAGTTGCCGTGATTGAAGAGGAAAGCCTGAGTAGAGCCATGGCGGCCGGCAAGTTGCAGCCGTCTATGGGCGCTTTGGGGGGATTTAAATTCCTCCTTGTTCTCGACAGTGACCAGGAATTGGTCCGCGATACTCTGGCCCCGAATATGATTCGTGTTTCACAGCCGTAAGTCGTCATTCTACGAAGATCGCTGTTGGCTGGACCTCAGACTCACCGCATTCCAGGTTCGGACCTCGAAAATTCGACGAAATTCTCACTCGCATACTCCTTCTATACTACGAGTACATCAAGAATCCTACACCATGCCAAACGCCACTGTCCCCGCCTACGGTTGATCCTACACTTTCCCCCACTCCCGAATCATTCCCAAGCATGCCACTGCCGTCGGCTCCGCCGCTTGATACCCACCAATCCACCTCACCTCCCCCCAAACCACAAAAAGATGTCCATGTACTGATCGTGGATGACAATGAGATTAATCTCAAGGTAAGCACTGCTGTTCTTCTCTTCATTGATGGTTGTCGTGTTCATTGACGCCGAATCACAGATCCTCGCCACATTTATCCGCAAACTCGGCTGCAGCTATGACACAGCCTCCAACGGGCTTATCGCACTCAACACGTACAAAGACTCCACTCGTCGCCACGATCTCGTCCTCATGGGTAAGTCCGTTTATTGACCCTATCCAGTCTTTGCAAGCGCCCTGCTGACCGAAGCTTCCAGATATCTCCATGCCTGTGATGGACGGCATCACTTCCACCGAGCAGATTCGTCAGTACGAAAAGAAGATGGGCCTCATTCCCACCCGCATCATTGCAGTCACCGGTCTCGGCTCGGCGGACCAGCAGCAAGAGGCGCTGGCCGCGGGCGTCGACGAGTACCTGGTGAAGCCCGTCTCCCTGAGCGGGCTGAAAAAAGTCATGAAAATCACCTAATCAGTCATGGTTATGTATGATGTACGGCCATTCACCACCCGCGCCATTTAGATGTAGACGGTCTACAACCATTTTTCACTGGTCCAGGACTAAATATCGCTGCGATGTAGTCTCCGGGACGCATATCGTTTCTCCTGTCACATTATCCTTCGTTTGTAGATAAGTGTTCAAGTACATACCTGTATATAATGGCAGTTGCACAATTGCACTACAGCTGAAGTTGGTGGAAGTGGGCTACCGTCAACCTTCTTCACTATACTGATTTCTTGTGTTCGATATGTTGGGCGTCCAACTCTCGTTTTTTCTAAGGGGTTGTACATCTCTACTCTCCTTTCAGCGATTAGACTTGGTAGTTTTGTGATTTTTTTTCGCCTTTGAGATGTTGTCAGGCCTTAGTAATCTTATCCATGATAGTACATACACGATACAGCTTGGTAGGCGTTCCCCAGCTGGGAATAGCTGGCCAAACAGGAGTTTCCTCGTGATTCTTAGCAAGTCTGCAATGGAAATGTCGCTAGTGATTGAGCTCCACCAGAAGAGGCTTTCATCAATCTCTTCAGAAAAAAAAATTGGATGATGGATTCCGAGGCAAGGTATCGAGGGAGCTATTTAGCATCCTACATACCAGTACAGCCGAGCCGGTTTGGGTCCAATATGCCGACAAGGGAGGCAGATGCCTCTCGACATCTATTCACTTACTTTTGTAGTAGAGACTGAATTGTGTTCGTCAAGATAGCTCAGAGACTTATTCTTGAGACTCGCGACTTCAACATCTGAGGCCTGGAGAATGACATACATCCAGTGGCCTTGCATGGGGTTGTCAACTAAAGCGACAGCGGCGCCGGTGCTCACATGCAGTACTTCCGTCACGACGGCCCCTGTTTATAGATAGGTTCTACGGTCAGAGGATCGATGGTCAGTCGTCACTTGTCGAGTCCAGGGGTGGAGGAGCAGGTTCCCGAGGGCAGCTGTCTATGGCAGTTCGATTTGCCATGTAGAGCCGTGGGTAGACATGGGTTGGTAAGAGATCGAAGCTCGAAAATGCCGAGCCGCGCTCCTCGTCACCTATGACGTCTCGAAAAGTGGTTACCCAGATTTACTCGTCTGACCGCTCCATGAGAAGAAGGCCGATTTGCAGACCCCGCCACAGTCTACATACTTGACCAGCAAAAACGTCTTCACGATGCGGACCAGCTGTGAACGGGCAGGGTAGCGTCCCGCAAGATTGCGCACGACGTATCATCCAACCCCCACCCACCGACCCATTCACTCATCCGGAGACCCTTCTTGAAGTGATCGGCTATATGATTTGCCCGCTCGGTCCAACTCTGCATCACCGCGGCACAAAAGCCACACCGACTGGTCACTGCGGTGCGGGTGGAGCGACATCCTTCGACTCTTGCTGCGGGTATCTTCGTGCAACGGTGGAACTTGCGGAGATGCTGCACGAGATGGTCTTTGCGCGTGAAAGTCCTCTCACTTACTGGGCGGTCCGCACAGACACCGAATTCGTGGGATTCGAGATGCGCCAGTGATGGCCGCGGGAACTCGCAGAATTCACATTCCACCTGATCTGGGAAGGCTGATGGGGAGGTATTGATCGTGCAGAGCCACGATTCAAGACAGAGATGCATACTGAGCTCATGACGGCACCAGTCGTGCTTTTTCTTGAAGGAGCGAGGACAGAATGTGCACTGGTACTGATGATCGCCAAGTGAATGGACTGAGGAGGGCCTGCGGCGAGACTGGTGGCGTCGTTGTCCTCGCCGGCTATCCGACAGGGGGAAGAGAAGCTGATCCTCGGAGTTGTAGCTCCAAGCTGCAGAAGAGACCGTGTCGGACGATGCGTGGGACTGGGCGCTCTCAAACTGTCCGCTGTCCACACTTGAAACCGAGTAGGCATGACCGTCACCCCGGCGACCAGCTCCGGTGCGCTCGGCCCGGCCGAAAGCACCCTTTCCAGACGGAGGCAAGTCTGAAGTAGCGATAGCTTCCTGAATCACCGATTCCGAGACCGGGTCCTGGTCGGGAGGAGATCTCTGCCATCGCTCCATAGGCGTCAGCGAGGTGTATCGTGAGACCGGCATGGGGGAGCTGCCGCGTGGAGCAGGAGTGACCGGGCTCGGTCGCGACGCTCGCAAAGCCATTTTCCGACGTCTTCGCGCATTCGCAAACCAATTCGAGATCTGGCGCTCGGTGAAGCCGGTCTCCCTGGCGAATTCGGCACGTTGCTCGTCGGTCGGGTAAGGAGAGTGCTGATTGCGATAGAACCAGTCGCGCAGAATCTTAGCCCCTTTCCGCGAGAAACGCGGCTTCATTTGCGTCTCAGCATCGGCTGGATCGGTCATTGCCTTCTGGGATGCTTCTCCCCCCAGTGTTGGGTGAGGATATCCGCTGTCGCGCTCTTCGGTCACGCCATGCAAATGACCGAAGACTGGAGAGATGGTCTCGAAGCCTGCGGCCTGGCGCTTCTCGCCCTGCGCAAGACTGCATTCGCGGTAAAGGGCGACACAGCTGGAGCATGAGGTTACTGGATTGGGGTTCGCAGAGGTTGTGCGCAGGATAAGACACTGTAAGCGATGGCGATGGCAGTAACTGCAAGGCACAGGAGGTCGATAGGCACCATCCAGCCATTGAGAGACACTGACAAAATTGCCGCTCAAAGGACCCGGCTGGATGGCAGTAGAAGGCTCTGCTGCAGGTAAGCTGTCAAAAGATGCGAGAGTATCGTGTTGCGATAGATTCTCGGTGGAGAGGACTTCGGATGAATTGTACTGCTGCGAGAGGTCGTCGATTGGTGAGTAATCGATTGGATATGACAACGATGCTGCAGTTTCCAGCGTCTCCCAATCTAAAAAGCTGGCGCCGACTTCAGGAGACGGTGCGAAGTTCCACGATGATGCGCCAGAGCCTGGTGAGTGATTGAGGAAATAGTTGGTGTCATCGAGAAAAGTCTCGAAAGATGGGGACTGCAGCTGGTCATCTACGGGCAAGAAGTCGTCCATCACAGAATGCCAGCAGCCTCGATGAGATCACATCTAGAACAATGTAACTAGATCGACTCCCGATCGATGAGAATTGACGGCAACAAGAGGAATATTAAGTGGAAGTAAGAAGAGAAAGAGAGAGCGTCAAAAGAGTTGCCATCAAGAAGTCAAAGAATCACTCACCGCTTTTGAGAAAGCGGTGAATCCACAATAGTTACCCCACCAAGTAGCTGACTAATATGCGCCCCCCCACTATCTTAATGCCTCAGGCATCAAGTCGGGAGCCTACGGTGTACAAGAAGAGAGGCATTTGTATGTACACGTATAATAATCTTATACTCTACCTTTAATCATAATCATAATCACTTGCAAAACTCCCTGGTCAGCAGCTCTAGCATCTTGGTTAATTCTCGCACACTTTCAACCTCCACCCACTCTTCTCTGGCATGTAAGCCCTCGCCAGATGGGCCCAGGACGATACTGGGAACCCCTGCTTGGGTCAGAAGAGCAGCATCGCACCAGAAAGGCACACTGATGACCGGCACAGGTTGACCGAGTGCCTTCTTACTGGCATCAACCATCTGCTGCACCAGAGGGTGACTATCTGGAAGGTACTGGCACGGTCGCGAGAAAGTGATGCGAGGCTCACGGAAGTGGAAGCCCGAATTCTGCTCTTGAACCTGTGAAAGCAGATTGCGCATCTCGTGGAGAATGACTTCATCTGTCTGCGCAGGCACCGTACGGAACTCGACAGTCAATGTGCAGCTGGCAGGATATGAGGATACCTCAGCGCCCCCCTTGATCACGCCGCAGTGGAGGGATGCCTGTCCCAGCACCTCGTCCACCGGCAATTGCTGCTGATACTGCTTCAACGCCTGTAACACCAGCCCCATGTGCATGATGGCATCAATCCCGGCCGCAGGGTCCGAGCCATGGGCTGCACGTCCCTCGACTTCGAGCTCCACCCAGACGAATCCCTTGTGCGCATGTGCGAGGTTGAGGTTCGTGGGCTCCAACACCACAGCCCCGTCGGCTCGCCAGCCAGCTGCAATCACATCCATCGTACCTTGAGAGGCATCCTCCTCGTCTGCCACGGCGGTGATAAGCACGTCTCCGGCCAGCTTGGAGCGCTGAGCGCTGGCCAATGCAGCCAGTCCTGCGGCGAGTCCGGCTTTCATGTCAAGAGTTCCCCGGCCGAAGATGGCCTCTTTCCCATTCTTGTTGCCCAAATGTCCACTCAATCCGTTGCCTTCATAGGTGCTCAAGGTCACGGTATCGACGTGGCCGTTAAACATAAGGGACTTCCCACCTCCGGTTCCTCTGACTATGCCGACCACAGAAGGTCGGCCTGGTGTGGTTTCCACGCGATGGTGCTCAATCGCACGATGCGCAAACCAAGCTGACAAATAATTAACGACCTCCGTCTCGCCAGCTCCCTGGGCCTGGGACAACGTCGGGTTGGAGGAATCGATCCGTGCCAGAGTCTGGGTCAAGAAAATCGGGTCATCTGAGGAGACATCCTCGGGGGTCTTGTAAGGTCGACGACCTTCAGTGCTCAGCAGTACGACCACGGAGTCTGAAGAGAAGTACAAAGGGGTGTCATGCTCCGCTTTGAGACGTCGAATAGCGGCTAAGCTGGCAGCACCACATGGACCCGAGTCTACCCCGAGTGAGGCGAGATATTCGACGGCGCAGTGACTTTCATAATCCGAGATTGTGACACTCGCGTCGACAAGCTTCTGCAGAACAGGCCAGGCGGCGGAAGACACGGTGCCGCAATTCATCCCGGCCATGATACTGGGGCTGGTAATGACTGAGGTCGAGTCTCCTTTCTTCAGGCTGACATTCAAACAAGCAGCGGTGTCTGGTTCTACAGCCACAAAGGTCGCAGGAGTTTTGCGCGACTTGGAATACATAGCGACAGCTTCAGCCAACGAGCCCACGCCCGCAGGCGAGACGACCAGCGTGTTCTGCTGGCCAAGAGCTTGCAACTGCACTTCTACCTCGTGCATCAAGGTGGAGTAGCCCTCTACAATCCAGGACGGAATCTCCGCATAGCCGTCAAAGGCTGTGTCCTGCACCAGGATTGCATTCCGCGTTGTCTGCGATGCTCTGGCGGCCTCCTGCACGGCATAGTCGTAGTCTCCGTCCGCCACCACGACATCCGCCCCTTCCGACCGGATCATCTCCTGTGTATATGCAACCATCGTGTTGGGAACATAGATGCGCGCCTGCAGAGATAGTTGACGCGCCACATAGGCCACGGCGCGACCGTGATTTCCTTCCGTAGCGGCCATGAGCGTGAAGGATTCCGCCGCCCGGATGCGTTCACTGAGGGTTTTCAAGGAGGTCTCGAGAGGCAGCTTCAAGAGCGCCAGGAGCGCCCGGTAGATGGCCCAGGAAGCTCCCAGGACCTTGAATGAGGGCAGTCCATAGCGATTGCTTTCTTGCTTGACGTACACAGCACGGACTCCGAGTTCCCGAGCGACTTCCGGCAAAGACACCAGAGGACTGGCCTGGTATCCCGGAAATTGCTTATGGAAAGCCTGAACTTGAGTCGCGAGGGGCGACACTATCGTCGAAGGAGTCGGATTGATGTAGATGGACCGCCGTTGAGCTGCCATGTTGATGTAGTTTGTGGTGCTGAGTTTGTGGGGATTCGATGCTGGCTTCACTTTATCAAGTGCTTCAGTCCTGTTGGGGGTACGGCGCCCTTCAATGACATTCCTCCTAGACCGCTTCCAGGGGAAAACTCCGCCTTGACACGAGACAGAGTTTTTTCTGATTCTTCATCTCTCCAAATTTTCACTTCTGGGGTGGGGATGAGGAGGAGAGAGCGATTGTCGCAGGAGGGCGCAGCGCAAGTCGCGGGAGGGCGCGATTTTATTTTGGAGCCGGTCGGCAACCCGCATTCGGTGCATGCAGGGATAATAAACACTTACAGGATAGAGTACTTATACTGTAGTGGTATGTATTTTGATTTCAACCACTTCAACCTCACCATCCCATCTACAACCACAACAACCACCATGCTCACTCGCCCAATCTATCGTGGCTGGACTGCGAAGAGCCTCCGCCGACAACTCTCATCTCAGGCAGGTTCTGGCCTGAAGATCAACTCCGATCGTCTTCTAGAAACTCTTCACCACACCTGCCAATGGGGTGCAGCTCATCGATATGGCGAGTCAGTACAGTTTAATTCTCCGCGCAAGAAACCCATGATGCTGACACAAAAGCAGTGCTCCAACCGAGACCGGGATGAACAGACTATGTTTGACGGACGATGATGCCCGCGTACGTCGATGGCTGCTGGACGAAGCTGAGAAGCTGGGCTGCAGCGTCACCATTGACCAGATGGGAAATATCTTCGCCCGCCAACGTGGCTCCCTCGACTCCCCGGCTCCCATGACCGCGATCCATGACCGCGATGGGCAGTCATCTCGACACTCAGCCGCGCGGGGGTCGCTATGATGGCATCCTCGGCGTCATTGCCGCATTAGAGGTGCTGCGCACGATGAAAGACCAGGGCTACCAAACCCAGTTCGATGTCGGGTTGGTGAACTGGACCAAGTGAGTGAAGCCGCTGCCTGCTCGTCCCAACCCAAGCTTAATGTATCACCTCGCAACATACCTAACACAACTCAGTGAGGAGGGCGCCCGTTTCCCCAAATCCATGTGCTCATCCGGCGTCTGGGCCGGCGAGATCCCCCTCGAGAAAGCCTGGAATCTGTCAGACATCTTCAACCCATCCGTGACTCTCCGCTCCGAGCTCAAGCGCCACGGCTTCCTGGGCGACACCCCTTGCTCCCCCGCAGGCTACCCACTGGGCGCGCACTTCGAGCTCCACATCGAACAGGGCCCCATCCTGGAGGACGCGAACAAGAAGATCGGCCTGGTGACCGGAGCCCAGGGCTATCGATGGCTGAGCATCAACGTGACAGGGCGCGACGCTCACACAGGCACAACTCCCCTCCGCGCACGACGCGATCCGCTCCTCGCGGCCTCCAAAATGATCGCCGCGTCGAACGCTATCGCCAAGCAACACGGCGCGCTCGCATCGACAGGGGTACTGAAGCTGCCGCCCACCGCGTCCACGAAAACCGTGGCGTCGGAGGTGACCTTCACCCTCGACATCCGCCACCCGCGCGACAGCGTCGTGCACGCGGTCCAGGATGAGTGTCTGAGTGTCTTCGCGGAGATCGCGCGCGAAGATGGCAAGGGGGTGACCTTCGACTGGACGCTGGATACAGATTCGCCCGCTGTGCAGTTTGACGCGAACTGCCTCGCAGCCGTCAAGGACGCCGCAACACAGCTGGTGGATGCGGATGGGTGGCTCGAGATCACCAGTGGCGCGGGCCATGATACTGTCTATACCAGTCGACACTGCCCGACGGCGATGATCTTTGTCCCCTGCAAGGAAGGGGTCAGTCACCATCCGGAGGAGTACTGCAAGCCGGAGGATTGGTAAGTGTTGCTATCCCTCACGATCAGAAGGGGGAGTTTGCAAAACTGACAGTTATAGCGCCCTTGGAACGCAAACACTGCTTGAGGCAGTGGTCAATTACGATCGCATGAGGAGCAAGCTTAAGTAGGTGATCTTGGTAAGAGAGAAAAGAAGACTCCCTCGCCCTTCGAGCCGGCTTTCAGACGGAAGATGCAGAATACAAACACCGAGGTCAATTGATTAGTGCGCCGGCCGGTCTGTCACTGATCAGGGCCGAGCTGGGCTCATAACGCCTGCTTCTGCTGCTCTCCGCCCTGCTTGGGCCACGTGTAGATTTCGTCCCTTCCAGTTAGCTTGCGCTGCAGCTCTCCTGCTCGACCGAGTTCATACAACGTCAACTGCAAGCAATTTGCATCCAGCGACAGTTCTGTTGGGCACGACTGTGTAGACCACTTGAGCTCAGCCACTCGCTCCGACAGCCCATCAGCCTAGGAATACCTACAAATAGCTATCCAGTTCCCTCAGCGTGTCCAAAGAGTCATTATAATTATGCTAATTAAATACTAGCCTATAGCTGGTCCTATGTACAGATCGGACTACTCGAGATACTCCGATCCTATTACCCATTTGCTATCACGTACTGTAACCCACTCATGCAAGCGACTGCGTACTAGTCGAACTGAACCTCGCGAAACGCTTTCCGCGCGTACGCCTGGAACCACCCATCCAAGGAGGAGTAGGCGGCAACAGAGCATCCGGAACTTGTTCAACCGTCACTTGCCCCTTCGCATCCTTGAAGAATCCACTCGAGCCAGCCGAAGAAGCCGGACCGTGGGCGAAGTAACTGAGACTCTGGTACTTGCCCAGCCACAGCATCTGTTCGTGTTCGCGGAGGTACCGATGACTGGAGAAACTGGCGAGGACGTTGTCACGACCTTGCATACCAAACTTGCGGCGTTCCTCCTGCTTCGCGTACATGCGCTTCGAGATCTCTTGCACTTCCTCGGGAGACGGGCGGAGACCCAGAGTTGGGGGAACGAATCCCTCAGGGTCTCCGGCGAACTGGCTCCATTCTCCGAGCAAGGCCATGACACGAATCTGTGCGGACGCCAGAGAGTAGGCATCGTTGGGAGGAACAACCTCACTGAATCGTTTTCCAGTCTCGCGGTTGACAACAACACAGAATGACGCACCGACGTCGGTACACACCACGGGCGCTCCAGTCAAAGCTGCCTCACCCATGGCAAGCGGCAGACCTTCCGAGGTCGACGAATTCATGAACAGCCACTGAAGGGATCAATTAGTGACATCTTTAGCAAAAGAAAGCACGCAGGTAGACACTCACAGCATCCTGTAGTACCACATCTGGCTTACCCAGACCCTTCAGTACAACATGGTCGCGCAGGGACTTGGACGCGATAACTTCTTGACATTCCGAGGCATATCCCGGTGCACGTTCCATGTCGCCGTAGATATGCAGGCGATAGTCCTTGAAGCCCCATTGGTTGACAATCAGATCCGTGGCCATAATAGCCGTTTTGATATCCTTGACATAACTGCATGTCGTATTAGCATGACTTTTGTGGTGCTTAACCTGGTAGGTATGGAGCGGGAACTAACCGAATATGCGACAACATGACAACTGTGGGTGTCTCGGTCTTGATCTTCTCGATGGGCTTGTATCTCTCCATGTTCGTGATGCCGTTGACCACGGGATCGATCTTGCGTGCGAATGCCCGACGGTGCTCCAAGACACCTTCACACGTTCCCAATTCAATCTCCCACCCGGGATTGAAGTACTCGGCACACGGAAGAACGACATCCGCATGGTGCTCAATGAGAACGCAAGACAGGTGGCCCAGAGAGATAAGGGTAGTGTTGACGAAGGTGGAGTCAAAAGACACAGCCGCAGAAAGGAACGTCGTCATCTCACGGAAACTCACGCAGTGATCCCAAACATGAAGTGCACACTTGCGCTTCACCTTGCAGAGCACACCGTAGTTGGCGCCAGTAAAGTGGTGAGAGGCTTGGAACACATCTGGAATGCGGTCGGGAACCGGGACGGAGAAGATGAAAAGATCTGGAAGTAGGTTAGGAAGGAAGTTCGTTATTGGCAGACAAAGTAGAAAGTCACTCACAGCGGTGCCACATGTCGAGGGCTGTATCGAGCTGCTGCAGAGTAGGCAGCTCGGCGTGCCACCATTCGGAGACGGGAATAGCACCATCCATTTCCTCAGTCAGCCAGAGCTCACGCCAAGCGCGCTTGACGGTGTCACTCATCCAAACATCGTTCCAGTTTCGCGAGGATTCGAAGTAAGTGTTGAGATCGACTAACGCCTTCGTAGCTTCTTCAATATGGGCGCGAGTCTTGTTGATGGTACGAGCACATCGGACCAGGCTGGCCAAGATCGGAATGAAGTTCTGTTCGATGTCGGCAATCTTGGTGTCGTGGATTTTCTGGACAACCTCGGAATCAAGATAGTTCTGGAACATGCCATGCGTCGGGTTCAAAAAGTCAAGTCCCCATTGAGGCAAGACCGTCAGTGACTGCACGTTTCTCTCGATCTGAAACCTTGGCACACCGAAGTCGTTGGCTGCCTCGGCAAGGATGTGCCAGCGGATGCCCTTCAGGTCGTTCACCATGTCGCGTCTACAGGCCGAGACACCACCGGGCTCATTGGGCCAAGTACCGGTATCCATAGCGAGAACGTGAAGCTCAGTGTCAGTGTCCTGAATTTGCGTCGACAGAGTTCGGGTGTTGATGCGAGATTCTCCTCCCACCCCGAAACTTGACAGATCCGCGATCTTGAAGGCGATGGGTGTCCACGAGCTAATTTCAGGATCAATGTCAACCCGGGCAAGCACCGTATCAGCCCGGGCTTCAAGGTAGTCACCGGCCACTTCCAGCCGACACCAGTCACGGTTACGCCAGTAGGGCTTGAGAACACGATCGGTGCGCAGCAGAATCTCATCCAACCACCGCGCGGTGATGGCATCGAACTCTTTGCTCGCTTTCCATGATTTCCAAAGATGGGTGCGAGCGCGTGAAGTGGGGATTGGGTACTTTTTGACGTTGGTGCCGAGCAGCCGGGAAACGAGGTTGACCTTCACAGAAGAGAAGGAGAGCAGCGGATTGTCATCCAAGAAACTGCACTTCGTTGGTTTCTCCAATACATGGAACCAATCCTCTTGAATCATGGACGGAGTGGTCACTTCCTCCCCGTTCATCGTGGTAGCGATTATAGGATGGAACTTGTGATCATAAGTCCATGTAGCTCTGTGCTGTTCGTCTCCTTGCACGTAGGTGGCATCCGTCACACGGGGATATGGGATCCACTTATCCAGGCGCTCAGGACGATTAGGAGGCGGCATGCACCAGGCGACCTTGATCTTCATATGTGGCAATTCATACTCCGCCCGTAGAAGTTCGTCTTCGAACTTAGCTCCCTTGCGATAATAGAACTTGAAGTCCATCGGGTTGACGCCCCGCATAGCGGAGCCGGAAGTGATGTACCCGCGCTTGTCGTATTGGACAATCTGACCTTCCAGCTTGCCTTGGGTACACTGCCGTTGCAGAGGCAGCTTCGAGCGCCCATTTTCAGCGTAGTCGTATTTGAACTCGTTGATCAAGTCCTGGCCACGATATTCCTGTCGCGCCAGAAGCAGTAACTTGGGCCCGTACGTGTTGATGGCAACGAGACTATTGTAATCGCCGGGCTCCTGATCGTGTTTTCCAGTGTATTGATACAGTTTGAACGTGCCGTCTGATTCGGTTCTGAAGAAGCCCGTAGATTTGCCGCTGAGGCTCTCCATTTCCACTCGATTGTGGTATATGACGGTCTTCCAGCCTTGCATGTTTCGGTAGAGGGTAGAGACCTTGTCGCGACCATGCACCTGTGAAAATCAGTATCAAAATAGAGCGCCTCGTCGAAAAGTGAGTATCTTACCAGGACTAGAGGAATAATGATGCGCTGCAGCATTTTGCAAAATTGCCACACAGCAGTGAGAATGACGGTTGCTGGCCAGGCAAAGAACAAAGGCTGTCCTCGAAGCATGAAATCAAGTTCGCGTTGGTATTCTGGGTCAGCGACCAATGCAATGACCATGAACTTAATGCACGCATTCCAAATTTGCACGGTCCGAGCAAGTGACATCCGGATGGCCTCACCCATGCCGACGTTGGAAACCTCTGCGTTCAATGCCAAGATATCCCGGATTGGCCTGTCGTACCTGTTGCTGAGAAAACCCTCTTGCTCGAGACCCCGGTGCTGGGATTCCAGTGCCTTTGCATATTTCTTAACAGAGATAGTCATGATGGCACCGAGATTCCAGCGAGCAAGGTATTCCTCGATGTCAAGAGACTCGCCAGCCGTCGCTCTAGACTCGAGCCAATCAAGTTGCTGTGAGGACACGCGACACGACTCACCCACACACCTACGAAGCAGGAATGAGCGGGCAAACTGGGGCAGAAGGTCCCACTCAATATCGCAATCAATTCCTAGCAACAGGTGGCGGAGGATTGTCTTGGAAGTGTAGTTCAGCACGCGAGTCCGCTCCGCGGAACTATTCTCCAGCTGACGCTTGACACCTTCAGGCAGAACCAGTTCTTGGCCAGCTTGACCATGCACCGCGAGAAGTTCAGCGAACATTGCATGATCATGAGATAGACCAAGATGAAACTCGGCAGTCATCTGGATGATCGCTTCCGCAATAGCCTGGCAATTGCGTCGGATATCCGAGACCCAATCATAGCCGACAAGGTCAGGACCAACAACAACATAGATATGAAGACGCTCGCCCGTGCGGCGGCAGAGTGCACGGACTTTCTGCTCAGGCTGGATTAAGTGAGCTGCTGATACCAGCTCCACCGTTGTTTCTCCGCTTTCCCAAAGTTGAGCCGTGCGGTTGATGATATGCGCGGCAGCAGGGAATGCAGCTTGGACAAGAGCCGTTCTGGGTTGATCTGAGCGAAGAATCTGCATGACCTCCACACCGGGATGGATTGTCGGATCGAGCTTGTACCGGAACTCCTCGGAAAGCAGACCAACATTGTCAAACATCTGAGAGAGTGTCGACTGAGACAAATCAGGGCAGGGTTCGAGGGAGCTAGAGCCATGAGTTCGCGACGTGTCCTTGATCTTGACAATGCTTTTCTCCTCGGGGGAACTCTTAAACAGCGACAATCCAATGTCGGCTTTGTAAAGCGAATAGAAGGCACAGGCCCAGGTTCCACTGCCCAGGCCAATGACACTGCTGTACTGGAATGCCGGCAAGACTTCGTGAAGGATGATTCCCACCACTAAGCCGAGCAGAGCACTGGCAGCCAATCCACTAGCCACGTGAGGTCCGCTGAAGATTCTGTTGTATTGGTACCAGAGCAGACCGCTGTAGCAGCCAACATAGGCCAAGAACATGATGACTGAGATCTTGGCCGTCTCGAATGTCCACATGATGGCCAAAGTGATGGCAACACCCCAGATGTGTAGGAAAAAAAACTTCATCAGGTTCTGCCAGTACAGCCTCCGACGTGCATTGGCATCGGTGAGGGTGACTTCCCGTAGACCGGCGAGCGAAGACACAGGCTGAGGTGTACGTTTGGTGACGGAGATCCAGAGAGGTTGGGAGACCGCGTCAAGAATGACAGCACCCAGCAAGTAGTAGCCAAGCGCAAAGCCAACAGTCAGTCGATAAGTGGCGCTGTTTGCGGCAGACAAACCGACAATGGACTCGCCAGTAAGAAGAGCACTCCACTTGTCGGAAAGAGCAACCACGAAATATAGGATACCACACCATACATCCGCACCGGTATGACGCCAGTGCAAAAAGGCGCTGTGAAGCTTGAGGCCTTTCTGCATCTCACCCATAGTGTCTACTGCCGCTCTCAGTTGCAGGTTCCAGGTTGGGCTGTAGGGCAGGGGCATCTTCGTCCGAGAATAGCGGCAGTACCAGCCAAGAAGGAAGACAGTTGCTGAATAGCCGTCAGCCAGCTTCGCTACCAACGGGTCTGTGGTCTTTTTGGTCCAGAAGTGACGATGTCTCTCTTTCTTAACACGAGCGTAGAGGGCCTGGCGTGCGTCTGATCCGAAGTCTTTGACCTTCTCATTCTGACTCTCGCTCGGAGGCACACACTTTTGCAAGTACCATTCCACAATTTGGGTGTCGGTCACCGTGGGAATGTTAAGATACCAGCTGTTCCATTGTCGCATGACGCGCCGCGCCCCAAATAGCAAAGAGCCCAAGAAGAGGAAGAGGATGCACAGATAGATGACCGAATCGCGGTGCACCCACAAAGTGACGATGGGCGAAATAAACAGGATTGGGATGCAAGTCATGATCACAGTTCGTCCCTGTTGGGGTTAGCCATAGTCGTCGCCATTGTTGGGCTGAATGAAAGCTTACCGACTGAAACGAATAGCCCGGTAGCTGATAGACGGACAGCGCGGACAAAGTCATCAGGTACGTTGACAGCATCACAAAGTAAAGGAAGAATAGAATTCCGGCTGAAAATCCCTTGACCACACCGACAGCAATCAGTGCGATGATACCTCCCACTAGAGCGACAGCGAGACCAGCGACAAAACGTGTAAGCACAAACATGCTCATGGCGGGGAACGCCATGGCGTACAGATAGTAGCTTCCTCCGGAGCTGATCCAGCTGCCGAAGCCACCACAGACAAGCAGGGCGCACATCAAGGCGGTAGTTGCCAGCGTTTTATCCACATCGCTCATATAGGTGGTGAGGTAGAGACCGCGACCGACAGTGGTAAGCATCGTGACATCGATCAGCGCCGGAACTGCGAAGATACCCAGGAATGTGAATCGATAATGCCAGGGAATCGTGTTCCGGTCGCCCTTGGGATCGAGATCGACATTCATGGACGCGTATGACGTGGGAAGCTCTGTGAATGCTTCCTCCCGTTGGGGTGGCTGGTACTTGTGATAGTAAGCCCGGTACCATTTCCAGATAATCTTTCCAAGTCGCTTGGGTGTCGTGTCAAAATACATGTCGGTCCGCGCACCACAGGCATACATCTCTGTGAAGCATGAAGCCTGTACGGCATCCTGGTTCGGCAGGGGGTTCCGATCAAGGACTTCCAGGTAGATCTCGTTCAAGGCTAGACGGCGGAACGCGCAGAAGATACATAGGGCGAAGAAATCCGCACTCGCATCAATCTGACCTTTTTGAAGAGTAGTCTGAACCACATCCTGAAGCTTTGCGAGAATATCCGCTTCGTTATCGAGCAAGACCTCCGGTAACCGAGCATCAATCTCCAAGAAAAGTGCTGTGGCAGCCTCAGGGCTCAGAGACCAGCACCCTTGTTCCTGATACCATGCCAACCGGGAGGCGACAAGCTCAGCAGCGGAGATTTCCTCATCCAGGTACGCGCTGGAGGTCAAGGCCCGGCGTTGAGCGTGAGAAGGCGCATCCACCAGTTGGTATTCGCTACAGGCTCGCAGCTTCGCGCACAGCATAGAAGAATCAGTGCACTGCGATGCGGCTAGCCGGCGATGCCACACGAGGTTTTCAGCCGGTGTGAGCTGCTCAATGTCATCGACCCAGCGTTGAGGCATCTCCCAGATTGGGGACAGCGACTGGGTTTGAGCGGCCAAGGCCATTTCCACCATCAAGCATTGGGTACGACTAAACCCGCGACCCGAGAGATAGGCGTGCACGATGGCTCCAGTCCGATCCAGTGACTTGCCGTTCACATAAAGATTGAGCATACCGATGTGGGGATCGAGATCAAGCAAGCCCCAGATCTGAGTGCCTAGCCGCGTGCGGAAGCCAGAGTGCAAGCCAACGTAGACTCGAAGACGATCATTGTCATCGCCACGGCTGCTGCTCAGCAGATCAACCAGCTCCTTGGTGGCCGCGATAGCATCGGAGAGATCGGGATAGATGTCCTGTGCCTTCTGGAGGGTACGGATGGATGCAGCGATCGGGCGAAGCTTATTGGGCTGAAGGCGCTCCAGCAAATCCAAGTCTCGCAAATGACGCTGGGTCTCGAGTACATCGGTGATGTTCTGCGCAGTACAATCCAAGCCAAGATGGAAGCACCCGAGTTCTGTGTAAGTGGCACCATCGGGAGAAAATGCCAGAGGATCGATTTGAGGATTTTCGTCGGAGGCGGTCCATTCGAGACCGTTGATCCTCAGACCGGGACTTTCTCGCGCAAGACTGGAGGATGCGGCAGGAGGAGCCAGAGCCAGTTTGGCTTTGAGATTGGGGATGAAGGAGTTGAGTGAGTCGAAGAGCTGCGTCGCTGTTGTTGTTGTTGATGCCTTCGAAGGCGTGGCGGTGATGGCGGCGTTGTTGCGCCACACGTCATGTGCCTCGAGGACCTCCCCACGTTTCAGCCACATCATGGCGCCTAACGGTTCTTCCTGCACGGTTTCGGCCACGGCGGTCTCCGCGTTGGTCAACGCCGCCCGAGGGCCGATGTAAATCATTGCACTGTTGTAGTTGCACCACTTGAACGTGCGCCCAATGACATGATGCGACACCTTCACTCCATCATCCACCGTGTCCCACATCGCCAAAGTCGATTCTCCCCGAGCCTTCTGTGCTGCCACGACACGCATGGCAGCCCGCATCTCCGCCATTTGGAAATAGTTGCGTCGGTCTCCATCCGTCAAGATGGTTCCGTTGCGATAGACAATGCCGCGCACCTGCTGCATGTTGATCTGGCGACATTGCTTCTCCCCGAGGTAGTCCGGGGGCGCCAGCTCGAGCCAGACGTCCAGTCCAAGGTCGTTGATATACTTCAGCAGCTCGTTCAGGACAACCGGCTGGAAGTGGGCGTGGAATTCGGCTAACAGCACTCCGTGGAAGGGGGAAGACGATCCCTGTTCGCGCTTGAAATTGCTCGTCAGGGCCTGGACCACTGTATTCAAGGCTTGAATGACCTCGTCGTTACTGCGACTGGCATCCGATTGCACCAAGCTTTGTACGTCGATCCGGCCGAGAACGTGCGGAGAGGTGCAATGACCCGAGAGGGCGTTCCGAACCCCTGGTTGAAGGGGGTCGACGACGAGAACATCCCACTGCGAGAGCAACTTCGTCTCGGCCGGCGTGGGGGGACTGGAGAAAGCGCCCAGGAACACTCCGAAAGATTTGAGATCGCGTTTGGCCGATTTCTCGGACCAAGGCGCAGAAGACTTGCCAGTCTTAAGCTGATCGAAGTACCGGACAATAGCGCTCGGTACTTCAGTGAGTTGATGACGTTTCTGGGGGATGGTGAGCAGGACTGCCCGGCATCAGTGAACAAGGGAAGCACAAAGAAGCACATACCCGCCATATACCATACAATTTTCTTCCAATGTAACCCAGGATAAAGAGTGAACCAAGAACGATTGTGGCTAGTAAACAGAATGCGAGGACCTGCGCATACCAAGTCAGCGGGAGACGTTCAGGACTCGTCGCGACCATCAGCAACCACTCACTTTATCCCACCAGGTCGAGGTCATGCGATTCCATCCTACGGCATCGAGGCCCAGATACTCGGGGCCCGCCATGGTGATAGAAGCAGGGTCAACCACCAGACATGCACCCTTTTCTCACCCACACAAGGACACTGTGGACTATTATCTGCGGCGGCTCTAAACGAAGGTCGATAAAAACGAGTGACACGACTACAACCCACGTCTCCTCTCGAGCTACCGGGGTGTGGGAGGAGTGTCAGCCTCTCTAATACTTAAATATACCCTATTTATAGGAGGTACATGGCGCTCGATCCATGGCGGCGGCGGCGTCGCCGCAATGAGAAGGGTCTAAGAGCTGGCTCGCTTGACTGGAGTAGGTAGCGTATGGTATTACTGTTGTTTAGAGATTATTATATTTCTCTCCGCGATTTTTCCTTGATTTGATTTGATTTTTTGGGGGGGCAATTTCCCATTCGTTACTTTATCTGGTTCGCGAAAGACCCAGTTATTTTGGGCCAAGTCGTGCTGCCAGCGAATCTCCTCCAGCGCCAGGCTAGTGGCTCACAGATGAGCGCTAAGCACTAAGTGGACTGCATGTCTGACTCGAAAATTACGGGTCTCTTCTCATCCTCTTGGGGACCGGTGTCACGGCTTTAGACCCAAGAATACTACGGTAGCCACTGCGATCGAGCGATGGCGGTGGGATGTTGTCTCAGTCGGATCTATGACTGCCAGGGCCACCAACGCCGCACAGGTATTGCCGAGAATCCATAATCCAGCATTGGTCTACAAAGCGGAATTTCTTGCGCCATTCGGGGTATCGGACGCTATCTCTTCCACCGCGGACAGGAGGTTGATCTCACCATTTTTATAACCTTCGCCGTGTGCCATCTCTTGCCCTCCAAGGACTACGACTCCGAACCCTGACGCCAGTTTCCTTCTACTCCCTGACTCCTCCGTACTGTCGTTTCATCTTTCCCCACGGTTCTGGCTCCCTGGTGCATGGATGGCTCGCCCCAAGCTTAGTCGTCCGCGGCGGCCCTGGTGCATTGCGATTTGCATTGCAGTGGCCGTCGCGGTGATCGTGGTGATTGTTGTGCCCTGTGCCGTCATTTTGACTCGGAAGAAGCACCATTCGAAGAGCACCAATGTGCTCTACCCCGTGTACATCTACCCTACCAATTCCAGCACCTGGGATCCCTTGTATAAAGAGTGAGTCTGGCCGATGTGCATCTTGCGTTCCCCCTTTCTAGACCCAGGGACCCTCAATTGACCCGGCCCCAGAATCACTGAACGCCCTGATCTGAACTTCACGGTGATCATTAATCCGTCCAGTGGACCAGGCAACACGACGTCTCCGGATGAGGCGTATAGCAGCCAGGTCGAACGCCTAGCGAGCTACGCGAATGTTCGTCGAGTAGGCTATGTACGGACTGGGTACGCGACCCGCAACATCTCCTCGGTGTTGGCGGATGTATCAACCTATGCGGGGTGGGCGAACCAGTCGAGCCAACTCGCGATGGACGGAATTTTTTTCGATGAGGCCCCCTACGATTACACAGCGGAGAAGGTCGAGTATATGAAGACCATCAATGCCGTGGTGAAGAATTCCACGGGTTTGCAGGGAGAACGAATGGTAAGTAGATTTATTCCTATGGAACCAAGTTTTTCTGTTTTTTCTTTCTTTTCTTTTTCTTTTTTTTTTTTTTTTCTTTTCTTTTTTTTTTTTTTTTTTTTTTTTTTTTTTTTTTTT